TGGGGAGTCGTTGATTAGGTAATGGACTTGCAAACAGACACAGACAGACAGACAGACAGACAGACAGGTCACAGAGGAAGGAGGAAACACTGAACAGTTTCACAAAGTTTATAAAGAATCAGAATCAGACCAAGTAAGTTTTCACCATGTGGTGTTACAATAAAATAGAAATTGAATAACGATTAAAAGAGACAATATACCGATATTTAGAATAAAATGAATGGAGCTGAACCAGTTTATCACTCCAGAAACTCTGGTGGGCTTTTTTAAAGGGAGTCTGGTGTTGATGATGATGATGATGATGATGATGATACGATAGATAGATAGATAAGATAGATAGATAGATAGATAAATAGATAGATAAGATAGATAAGTAGATAGATAGATAGTAGCTTTATTTAACCCGAAGGGAATTGGGTGTCATAGCAGCCAGGTACATTAAAATACAATAATTGATATAATTGTAAACATGTGTCTATATATTTAGCCTGTGCAGTGTGCATTACATACATACTGGTATATATATACACAATATATCATATATAATATGGACAACATATATATATATATACACAAGATATGATATGTACATACAATAGGTAATACTTCATATATTGTTAATATATAATAATAATAATAATAATAATACTATATCGTAATATATATAATATAATAATAATATATTATATTAATATAATAATAATTGATTGTAAAATATGATTGAATTGAATGGAAAGCCTTTATTGCATTGTACACAGTACAATTGAGAGTTTGTAGAGCCAGCTCCGTAAAAGTGCACAAAAAACTGACCCCCCATTGTCCATGTAGAGTTGTAACAGTCTTTAATGTTTTTTATTTTTTATTTTTTGTCTTGAATGATGTGTGCCACAATTTATTTAATAGGCTAAAAAATGATCCTGGCCATTCAAATTAATGCAAAAAACAACATGAATGTCATGCATTCAGCATTTACTAGGATGTTATTATACAGATTTTTTGCAACACCTTGAACTCATACTGACTTCCAGTGTCCCTGTCCACTTACAGAACTTGTTTTTTATCTTCCTTTATATTTTCTACTTACAGTTTTTATTGTAATAAAATACTGAGGCTGTACTTTAGGTGAAAATCTACTTGTCAATAAACCTGATTCTGGTACAGTTTTGGGGTTTTAGAGTTACGTAACGGTCCTGTTAATTACCATTAAAGGTCAATGTCAATTTCAGACTGCAGCAATTGTTGCATCACATGCTGGTGTGTTTTTCTCAACACCTCTGTCCGCGCTGCATGTCTATAAATTCCTACTGCAGCCCCTCCCGGAGGCTTCTAGACAGTCAGATCGAAGAAACACAAAATGGACAGCAGAATGAGAACAGCATGTGATGGTCTATTTCATCCAGTGTAGCTTCAGTGAAGATCTACTAAATATATAATTCATGTGATATTCAGATTAGAGCTCATATGGTGCTGAAACATGGACCCTAAATATCAAGTTTATCATTGACAAAGTCATAATGGAAGCCTGAATGTGTGTGTGCGATCTGAAACATGAACAATAAAGGACACAAATAAGCACAGAGAGACTTCCTGTAGTGCTGATAATCATGCTTTATTAAATCAATAATTGGAGAAAAACTCAAGGAGGCTGCAAAAATAACGCTAAACTTCAATCAAACCAAAGTGCTGAGCGACATGCGACACCACGCTTCTCTCCGTCCTCGTCTAGCGCAGCGGCGGTTGGTTACGGCTGCGGTACGTCTGCTTGGCGGCGCCCAGCTTGACTGACAGGTGAACTAAAAACTAACACACAAACACACTGCAGACCTCCGAGAGACAGCTCTGCCTCTGCAAACAAGCACCGGATGGACTCTTATTATTTTTTTTTTCGTGATTGGCCAGGTTGATGGTAAACTGAAGAGTCCAGCGAGCGATCGTTTGCCAGAAGCAGAGCACAAAACAAAAAAGAAACACTTGTGCTCAGGGAGTGCAGGCCGCTCGCACTGTGAGCGTGTCATCGAAATGGCGGTATGACATAATCAGTCAGAGTGCGAGGTCCAGTCGTCCTGCTTACATGAGGGTATATGCAAACAGCACTCAGGATCTCACGCTCTTGTTGCAATGCAACAGCACTGCTCCTACTCTCCAGCAGTGCATTCATAGTTCTGTCTCTGATTGAGTTAACATCAACAGGGAGCCTCTCTACCTGTTGAGGCAATCTTAAGACTTCAACTTATCGTTGAGGCACAGAGTTTAGTTTCTTAGTTTAACAGGGTATTCGTTCCTGGTGAAACTTTCTCCTGTTAAACCACATTTAGTTTCATTTTGTTTCAGTTAATATTATTGTCATAAATAACAATTCATACATTTCCCATAACCGTTAAATTCGGCTATATACATTATGTACATGTCACAGAAAAATGGATCAAAAATCCTAAGTCATAGTTATCCAATATGGCACATTTTATAACAACTTTAGACTTTAGTCTAGTTTGGCATAAATTAATGTCAAGATTGGTACAAAAATAGTTCATATTTACAAGAACAGAAATCCAGATCTTTATCAAGTAGATTATTTCGCTCAATTAATAAATAAAAAGGCATGGAAGTAGGGAAAAGGGGAAGATTGCAAGATTAGATTTTTTTTTTTTTACACTGATCGAATGCTAATGTGAACAGTCGCTGTGTCAGATCCGAGCTCGTTGGACAGTTTCAGGGTGTAGGTTCCAGCGTCCTCCTCCTTCACCCCGGTGATGATGAGGGTGGTCAGGTCCTCCGTGGTCTCGATGTGGAAGCGTCCGCCGGCAGTCACCTCAATGGTTTTACCGCCACGAGACCACTCAATGTGTTTGGCGTCGCCGGAGAAGGCGCAGGCGACTGTTAAGATTTTGCCCGGCTCAATGCTGATGTCTTCTGGCAGAGCCTCGATCCTGGGAGCAGAACCTGGAAACCACAGCATACCTACATCAGTACACTCAAAGGTTTTAAAAAAAATAATGTTTTTTTGCAAAACATTTTTACAACAGAAAGTTTAAAAGACAACATTTAGATTTTCAAATTCAGGTACAAAAAAGGTTTTTCTAAATAGACTTCAAAACAACTCTTGCATATAAATATTAGTGAAATAGTGATGAAGATAAAGCCGAGCTCCCTTTAAAATGACACAATATTAAACATGTTTCTAGGGATGCCGACTAATAGCCGAATAAATGGTGGATGAGAAGAGTCTCAGTCGACCGACTTTTCATTAGTCGTCAAAAATGTTAAACTGTTCAGTACTTCAGGAGATTGTTGCAACACGGACCTTTTCTCTTGTAAGACAGGAAGTACACACGTACTAGCTGCCATTAGCTACTTAGCAGTCCCATCAGCTGACTCAACCTGGATTGGGAGCTGGAAGGAAAGTTTGTTTACACTACTAGCACGGGAGCTAGCATAGGAGTATGAGCACTAGAACCGGAGTTGTGCGAGCGGGCAACAGAACCGGACTCACCGCATCCGAGCCTGACGGAGGCCAGCTGATTTACAGTGGCTCAAGTTTGTAGTGAGTTACTGGTAAAGTTATACATCTATACACGTTTTCGTGAAGATGGGAGTTATTTATTCCATGTTTTGAACACTCATTCAGAATCATTACCGCTTTTTCCGTTAGAATTTAAGTATATATACATCATAAACATGCAATAACTAGTCGACTATTGGCTTGAACTAACAACTACTTGTCAACGAGGAGAATCTTTGTGGGGACGGCCCTTCAGGTTTAATTACCGACCGTCTTACCGATTGCTCTGATTGAGGATCCCTCCATGAGGGAGGACATCTCCGTGAGACTGCTGGAGCTCATGGCGTACGTCTCAGACGCCACTGAGGACATGCTGGACATGGACATGGTCTCAAACTTCATCTCAGCCGCCATGCTGCTGAAGGAGCTGGACTCCATCATGGATGACATCATTGCCTGCTGGGCGGAGGAAGAGAAGGAGGACGACTCCTCCATTGTGTGCATTTCTTTCTTCATCATCATGGATGAGCTCATGGATGACGACGACTCTTTGTGACCCATCGTCATAGATCCTGATTAGGGTAGAGATAGAAATGGTGAATTTTCAGATTAAAGGTAAGGCTATGTCAGAATAAAATTGGACTAAATCTACTTTTACACTTGAGACAGGTGCTCACCTTTAAGTGCCAGTTTCTGTTCATGGTAGGCTGTGACCTTCATGCGTATGGACTGGAACACCTGTCCAGTGAAGGAGAACGAGGATTTGGATACTCCTCCCTCTGATGTCATCTCACAGGTGTACTCTCCCTGATCACTGTCTGCCAAGTCGTGGATTAGAAGGCTGCAGGAGCCCTCAGAGTAGTGCATCTCAAAGTGGCTGCTCTGCGAAAGCCTCCTCCCGTTGACGTACCACACCACCTCCCTGACGCTGCTCTCGCAGACACAGGACATCCTCACCGAGCCCTCACAGGCCTCAGCTGTTACCTGACTCAGGACCTTGGGAGGTTTCGGGGTTGGGGATTTGACAGTGGGTGGAGACATAACTCTCTTGGGGGACATGATGGGTGGAGGAGACTTCATCCTAGGTGGTGATTTGAGTCCCTCAGGCTCAGGGGACTTCAAGGCCCGTGGGGATTTGAGGCCTGAAGGTTCTGGGGACTTGATGCCTCTCGGTGTTTTGATTCCAGCTGGTTCTGGGGACTTCACTCCTCTTGGTGTTTTGAGTCCTGCAGGTTCTGGAGATTTGACTCCCCGAGGTGATTTTACTCCCTCAGGCTCAGGTGACTTCACTCCTTCTGGGGACTTGAGTGGTGACTTGAGTCTGGGTTCAGGAGATTTTAAACCCCGTGGTGACTTAACTCCCTCAGGTTCAGGAGATTTGACACTTGGAGCTGGTGATTTTAAGCTGGGTGCTGGAGAGGGTGAAATGGGCTCAGGAGACTTGACGCCCCTAGGAGATTTAATTCCCTCTGGTTCAGGAGACTTCACACTCAGCGTTGGTGACTTCAAACTTGGAGATGGAGATGTTACACTTGGTTCAGGGGACTTAACACTTGGAGCTGGTGATTTAATGGAAGGCTCAGGGGACTTGACGCTGGGGACAGGGGAAGTTACGGAGGGAGCGGGTGATGGCGTGGCTGGTGGCTCTGGTGACTTTATACTGGGAGTGGGTGACTTCACAGATGGCTCAGGGGATTTTACAGCCTTGACTTCCTCTTTGGGAACTGGTCTGCGGATGGTCAGGGTGAAGTGAGCTTCCTGTCTGCCTGCTGAGTTCTCTACCACCACAGTGTAACTGCCCTCATCGGAGGCCATCACAGAGGAGATCTCCAGGCTGGACTTGTACTGAGTGGTGGTGACATGAACCCGGTGAGATGAGGTGATGGTTCTGCTCTCGTGCATCCATGTTACAGTGGGTGCTGGTTCACCGTCGATATCACAGGAGAATCTGGCTGTCTCTCCCTCTGCAACTGTCACAGATTGGGGCTTAGTGAGGATTCTAGCAGGAAGAGAAGGCTTCACCTTGTGTACAGCAACTTCCTCAGCAACCACAGCAGATGATGACTTCAGTTTAGATTCAGATGTGGTTTGTTTCCCAGTCAAAGAAAACTTTTCCGATGAGTAGGAGGAACCAGATGACAGGTAATCAGCATACCTCTCAGCAGAGGAGTACCTCTCAGCAGAGACGTACCTCTCAGCAGAGGCGTACCTCTCAGCGGAGGAGTACCTCTCAGCGGAGGCAGCATATCTTTCTCGTGTGACAACCTCATGTGTCTCAGTTAGCTTAGACTTGCTCTCTTCCACCTCAAGGTGGGTCTCAGAAGCATAGCCAGCTTTGAAGTGGGTGGTGTGGTAGTGGTCAACTCGAGTGACTTCAGGGACATATGCTTTGGGAGCATCCTCATCCCTGCGGCGGGAAGAGAAGGTCGTGTAGCCACCACCTGACACTTCAAGGGTGGCATAGTCAGAAGCCTCACCCTTGGAGTTGGAGCACACACAGCGGTATGTGCCACTGTCCTCTTCCTGGCACTCCAGAATAGTGATGGACAAAACACCACTCATGTTGATGAAGATGTATTTCTCGCTGCTTTCAAAGATTTCAGTTCCATTGTGGAACCACTTAACCTCGGCTTCTGGCTTTGCTTGGATGTTCAAGGTGAATTTGGTGTCTTGGCCAATTGGAATGCGATGAGAGCGCATCCTGACAGTCACACGAGGAGCATGGTCCAGGCTGAAAGGTGTCTGACTAACCACCTGATATTTCCTCTCAGACTTCAGAGCAGCCTTCCTGGCCTCGTAGCGGGACATGATGTCAAAGCGGGCAGACCGCTCAAACCTGGAGGAGGAGCGGGATGACCTCTCAACAGACCTGATAGGGCTAGGAGAACGGGGACGTGTCCTCTCAGGAGTGGGGGACCTCCTGACCACAACCTCTCCCTCCGCTTCCACAGGAGGCCTGGCACGTGGTGGTCTGATCAGCTCTGACACTGGACGCATCAGCTCAATGTACGTGGGAGACAGCGATCTTCTCCTCCTCATATACTGAGAAACAGTGCGTTTCTTCTTTGTCTCAGCAACCTCGACAGCCTCGTGCCTTACCTCATGCCTCCTGTCTTCATGTTCCACAGCATGGCGCTCAACGCGGACCGGGCTGCCGGTAGGAGAGGCAGAAAAGCCGAGCTCCAGTTCATCCTCCAGCATCATTCTTTCCTCCTCTGTTCTCCTCATGGAAAGGTAGTCATCCACAGGCATCAGCAGCTCCTCATCACTAAGGTCTCCCAGAGATCTCCTTCTGGATCTGAAGGAGACCTCTGATTCAGGAGATGGTGAACGACGGGCAGGTCTGACAGTCTCCAGATCATCTAGAGTGAGTTTTGGAATACGCCATCTTGGCCTGTACTGGTCGGTGATTCTAGGGAGGGGCATGACATAAAACTGCTCCCACCTGGACAGGCGAATACGTCTCTGCCTCTTCTGTACAATCCTCTCCATCCTCTCTGAAATCTCATACTGGTCTTTGAGCTTTCTGTACCACTTCATGTCAGATAAAGGCACAAACTGTTTGATACCCTTGTCCTCATCCAGAGTTTTGGGATCATGAACAATAGGCTCAGGGATCTCATATGGCATGAAGATCCTCCTCTCCTCCTCCAGCTTCTTGGTCTCGGACTTCACGACTGTGATGTCGAATTCGCCCTCAACGTTCTTGGTGCTAACTGCGGGCTTGTAAATCTCTGCAGCAAATTTGAGAGCCTCCTGGGCTGTGGGGTTTAGAGGCACAAGCTCCTCAGTGGCAACAATTTGCTGAGCCAGCTTGTTTGTCTTCTCAATTTGTTTCTGGATGTGTCTGTATTTCTCCTCTTCGCTCTTGTACTCTCTCCTGGTGTAAGTAAGGCGATCCACCTTCAATGTAGCCTGGCAGGTTGCAGAGCCAGCAGAGTTGGTTGCAGTAACCTTGTACACACCGGAGTCCTCAAGCAGGGTCTCTCTTATGTGCAGGACATGGTACTCAGTGTCTTCCTGTATGACAACAACCTTGGGGCCAAACTGTAATGCACGGCCATCCTTCTCCCATTTTAGAGTAGGAGCTGGGATTCCTGAGACCCTGAGCTCGAAGCGGACACTATGTCCTTCTACACACTCAACATTAGCCAGAAGACGTTTGAACATGGGCCTCATAGTTTCCTCCATCACAGGATGAGGTGTCACAGTGAGACGGGCCTTGCAGCTGTCTTCTCCAAACTTGTTGTGGGCCATGACGGTGTATTCAGCATCATCGCTCAAGTCCAGGTTGTGAATCATCAGCTGGTACAGACCCTTATCACTGGTGAATGTGTACTTGTGATCATGATCCCCTGGCTTGATTCTCTCACCATTCTTAAGCCATGTTACATGAGGCTCTGGGTGCACTGTAATAGTGACACCAAAACGCACATCTTCACCAATGTAGGCAGTGCGATTGTACAGAGGCAAAGTGAATTCTGGTGGTCTCTGCAGGAGTTTAGTCTTGTCGACTCTCCTTCTCAGTTTCTTAATGGACCGGCTAATATAGTGCTCTCTGATGCTCCTCACTGTCTCAACAAAAAGCTCGCCATAAGCACTGTCCTCTCCATCATCACTTACCACCTTGCATCTGTACACTCCATCATCACTCTCTTCAATGTCCTTTACATAGATGCTGGCAAAGCCTTTACTGTAAGTGATTTCATACTTGGGACTTGGGTGTAGCTGACGGTTACCAAAGTACCATGACACCTGTGTGCTCTTGTCATAGTTGGTGATGCTGCAAGTGAATCTGACATGGCCACCTTCCTCAGCTGAGCCATGCATGACTGGACCAGTGCGGAGACCATGGTACTCAGTTCCAATCTTCACTTTACCCACAGCCAATCCTCTCTGGTTCCTGAAGGCGCCACCATAGGCCACACGAGCTGCTGATACAATGGTATCTGTCCTCTTCACCAGGCTCTGATAGTACCTTCTGTGTCTCAGTGTCTTAATGATCTTGTTGCTGACATATTCAATCTTCATCTTGAGCCATGGGTGTTCCAGAGCCTCATGGGCTGTCATACGGAGCTTCCTGTCTTTGACTAGAAGTCTGTCCACAAAGTCCATAGCCTCCAGGCTGATGTCCTTAAACGCTTCACTGTCAAAGACGTACTCACAGTTGGAGATGTTCTCAATCATCTTTGTAACGGACTCTGCCGCAAATGGATTAAGGCCACTGAGCAGAACATAGGCCATTACACCAACAGACCACATATCAGTGGCTGTTGTGACCAGGTCGTGACGGTGGATCTCAGGGGCGCAGTACTCTGGAGCTGTGAACAGCATTCTGATGTTTTCTCCTGGCACCAGCAGCCTAGCCTGGCCCATCTCAATAATCTTTATGGTGGTGCTTCTCCTTGTGGTGTAGACAATGTTGTCTGGGCGGATATCAAAGTGGCCAAAGTTGTGGCTATGCATGAACTTGAGGGCAGAGCAGACTTGTCTCAGGTAGCGGACAATCTCCTGCTCTGTGAGCTCGAAGTGGCAGGTGCCAAGGCGTTCAAAGATGTCAACTCCAGAAATGAATTCAAAGATCAGGATGATCTCTTCCATGCTTTCAAAGTATTCATGTAGGTAGATTATATTCATGTGCCTTGCTACGTTGAGGGCCTCAATTTCCCTAAGAACCAACTCACGGTCAGTTCCTTTGACCTTGATAAACTTGGCCATGAAGGTCTTCTTTGTGGCAATCTCCACACAGCGGTGGACTACTCCAAACTGGCAACGAGCAAGTTCCTCAGAGATGGTGTACTTGGTAGACAGCTCCTTCACCTTGTAGAACAGAGCCTCCTCCTTGGTTACCTCTCTGGTTTCGTCCACCTCCTCGTCATAGTTCCTAATCACAGACTTGTCTTCCTTTGTGGTGATGGGCTCAGTTGGTTGACATGGAGGGCTCAATCCATACTGATTTTCAGCGATGACGCGGAACTGGTACTTAGTTTTGCCAAATATGTTGATGATGTTGATGCTGCAGTCTGTGGTCTGTCCAGCACGGATCCATCTATCAGCAGTGGTGGGACACTTCTCCACAATGTAACTAGTGATGTCACTTCCACCATCATTGGCAGGGGGCTCCCAGGTCAAGGTGATGGAGTCCCGACCAATGTCACTGACAACAAGATTCTTTGGAGCTTCAGGTATGTCAGCCACGTTAACCTCAATGGTTTGCTTGTCTGTTCCGAACCTGTTCTTTGCAGTTATAATATAGTAGCCAGTATCCTTCTTCTGCACTCCCTTCTGGAAGACCAAGGAGGTGAAAGACCTGGTAGTGATGACCTGGTAATAAGGAGAGTTGGAGAGGATCTCCTGACCCTTCTGCCAAATGATTGCTGGCTCAGGCTTGCCAGAGATAGGGATCTTGATGGTTATGTGATCGCCACGGACAGCATGGACGGCTCCCATTCCCTGGAGCTCCTTGGGCAGGTGGATCTTAGCAGGAACTGTAATTAAAATGATAAAACACAACATTAGTTTGATATTTATCAAGATTTCTTTCTTTTAAAGAATTACACAATAAAATTGATTTTAGGAATTAACAATACCAAAATTATATCATTACCTTCCACCTCCAGGTTGGCTGTTGTAGAGATGGATCCTGAGGAGTTGGTTGCTCTGACTTGGTAAACTGTGGCATCGTTCTCATCAGCAGTAGTGATGACCAGCTGGTAGTAGCCTCCTTTGAACTCCTGGGCTTTGATCTTGGTTCCATCTGCCTGGATCTCCTTTCCACTGCGGTACCATTTCACCACCGGCTTGGGATATCCCACCACCTTGTCATAGGAAAAATAACTAAGTTAGAATTAATTTACTGACAACTTTTTTTGACTTAAAGAGTAATGGCCTACGTTCCCAATATTATAGGAAAACTTCACTCACTGGAGTCATAGGCATACATCTATATATACATAAAGAAAAGATCCTTTGTTTGGCCAATCTTAAAACAAATACTGTAAGCAGGGGAAACACCGGCACTTGATCAAATGAAACTGATGTCAATTATCTCATTTGACTCTGAATGTCCCATTGCTAGTAGTTTTTACATATTTAGACTTTAATAAATGTCAATAGTAGTTTAAATAAAGTACCTTAGTGACAAAGGTAGCATTGGCATGATATTTGACGGTCATGTCCCTGATCTCCTCCCTGAACGCAGGAGCACGAGGAGCCTGGTCGGACTTGGGGATGATCGGTGCAGAGATCTCACTCCAGTCACTCTCACCGCCCATGTTGTCACACTTGACACGGAACTCATACTCAAAGCCCTCGATCAAGCCTGTGACCTCGAAGCTGGTCTCCACAACCTTCTTACTGGTTACTGACATCCACTTGTTCTGCTTCTTCTCACGTTTCTCCAGGTAGTAGTTGGTGATTTTCGCTCCACCATCGCTGCTTGGAGGCTTCCAGCAGACAACACAGGAGTTCTTGGTAGAGCTGATGATGAAGGGTTGCTGTGGGATGCCAGGTTTTTCTGAGAAATAGACAGGGGGATGTTACTGTAGTGCTCTACGTATCTGTTAGTCCTGCCTCTCTGCAATGTAACTATAGAAATCAAACCTGGCAAACAAATTATAAATTGACTTACCGAATGGACTCTTGATGATTAACACTGATGGGATCTCCAGAGGCTCGCTGACTCCATACTGGTTCTGGGCAGAGACTCTGAAGTAGTAGCCGGCATTCTCTATCAGGTTGGGGACACGGCAGTTGGTGCCAGACACAGAGGAAGACACCAGGTGCCACTGCTCTCCTTCTTTGGCCTCACGCTTCTCTACAATGTAGTTTGTGATCATGGAGCCACCGTCATCCTTTGGAGCCTTCCAGCTGATGACAACTGAGCTCTTCAGCAGAGCATCAACAACAACAGGGCCCTCAGGTATGCATGGTTTATCTGGAGAAAAAGGTCATGAGTAACAGCCTTTTTTTATATATATAAAAATACATATATATAGGAATAGTTATTTGTTGGTTGAAACTTGAAACAAATTCATATGTGTGACAAATAATATTTAACTAATATATATATGTAAAAATCCATCCGTTTCTCATTCTTGACTTTCATTTGAATTTTAAAGATAATCTAATGTCATTATTGGATGTTGGATTGTTTTTTGTAATATTTCTCCGTAGTCTGGTCATACCTTGGATTTCAACACGCAGCACAGTGTCGATGGTTCCATACACATTGCTGAGCTGCACCTTGTAGCGGCCGGCGTTGGTCTTCCTCTGAACGTTCCTCACCACCAAGTGAGTGTAGCTTTCAGTGTTTTCAATAATCACATTTTCTGATGGGTTCAAAGGCTTCTTGCCATAGAACCACATGATCTGGGGGATGGGACGCCCAATGTACACCACATGGAGACGGAGGCTGGTGCCAGCCCCAGCGAAGTACTTCTCCTTCAGAGGGAAGCCTGGGTGGAACTGAGGTGCTGCCTGCAGGCGCAGTTTGCCACTGGTCTCGATCTCACCGGCCTCATTGATGGCCCTGCAAGTGTATTGACCCTCGTCTTCCTGCTCGTCTGTCAGGATGCTGAGGGAGTGGTTGCGGCCATCTGAGCTCATCTTATACTTGCGGCTTTGGATCAGTTCCTTGCCGTAGCGGTACCACTTGATCTCAGGCAGAGGCCTGCCGATGATGCCACAGGTGAGAGTACCGGACTCGCCAAGCTTGGTGGTTACATCCTCGATCTCTTCCTTCAAAGCTGGAGCCTCACCAACTGCAGAAACATCGGCAATTAAAATGATGATTTCAATCAAAATCAATTTCTTATGCTTTTTACTTTTTGCTGTAAAAACTTTATGCTGAAATGCAAACATAAAATTCAACAATACACAATTCAGTATCTACTTTGTAAGACTCGGGACACATCACAAATTGGCTGTGAGAGTTATAGAATTCAGCTAACATGAATATTTTTTAAATAAATGTTACTCTGGCCAGGCCATTCTGTTTGATAGAATCTGACAGAACTCTGCAGTCACTCACCGCTCAGTTTGGTCTTGATACCCATGGGTGTGCGGCGAGGTCGGCTGAATCCAGTCTCATTCTCAGCGAAGATTCTGAACTCGTACTCGGTGGCTTCCATCAAGCCGCCCATGGTGAACTGACGATCCTTGGAGCGCTCCTTGTTGCATTTCTTCCAGGCACTCTCTCCAGCCTCCCTAAACTCAATCCAGTAGCCCAGAATCTCCTTGCCACCATCATGCTCGGGCCTGAGCCAGTGGATAGTGATGCAGTCTTTGGTGACAGAGATGATGTCGATCTCGCCTGGTTGGCTGGGTTTGTCTATAAGACGACAGACAGGAGGAAATTAATACTCATGAAGAGTTAAAGTAACATGCAGTTGTAGCAAAAATGTCCTTATGTTCAGATTAGTTATGTCTTAAATTTCAATGTCTTGTCTACTCATGCAGAAATGAGCGTGATAAAATACACTTCATTAATCCCTCACTGGGGAAAGTCACTTGCTACAGCAGCTCCAGATACATGAAAGCAGAAAATAGAATACAAGTTATATGTACACTATGTACAGCTTTTATACAGATTGATATAGAATATTGCAAAAGTTACAGCAGGAGGTAGTGCCATGGTGTAAAAATAAATTTTTGCACAGGACAAAAAATATATATACAGCAGTATAGTTTAGCAGAAAATAAAGGCTATAGACAGGGCTTGGAATATACAGTACAGGTCTAATAATACTAATAATATGTCATGTAATGTTAACTCACCAAATGGATCTTTGCAGACCACAGGCTCTGAAGCAGGACCAGGCTCACTCTGCCCAATGTCATTCTGAGCAACCACTCTGAACATGTACTCTGCATCGGGGATGAGACCAGTGACATTGTACATGGTGGTGGTGATATGGGTCTTGTTGTGGCGGACCCACTTCTCTGTAGAAATCTCCCTCCTTTCCACGTAGTATCCTGTGACGCGGGAGCCTCCATCATCCCGGGGGCGGGCCCAGGACAGAGACACTAAAGTCTTGGCAACGTCCATGATCTCTGGTGGGTTGCTGGGAGGTTCTGGTGGGCCTGAAGGGAAAATGCGTTGTATGTGAAATCAAATGTTTACAATATTTCTAATCAGAACATTTTGACAAATATCAGTTGTCAGTACTCACAAAGAGGTGTCTTTGGTATTACGGACTCTTCAGACTTGAGAGATCTGCTGACACCGAACTGGTTCTCAGCAGAGACCTTGAAGTGGTACTCCACATTCTCCTTCAGGCCCTTCACCACCAGAGAGTTCTCGATTACCCGGGAATCCACTGTACACCAGGCAGCCTTGGGTACCTCCCGCCTTTCCACAATGTATCCTAGAATGTCGGAACCACCATCATCTGATGGTGGCCGCCAGCTGACCCGGACTGATCTGGCCTGAATATCGTCAAACTCCAGAGGCCCTTCTGGGGCATCAGGGTGACCGATCACCTTCACCTGGAGAGGAAAATATACAGAAAGTTGAGTTACAACCATTCCAATAAAATCAATTTTTTAATTTTACTTAAGTACATTTTATTTTCTTGAAAATCTGTGAGATAAGGTGCTAACCTTGATGTACACAGCCTTCCTGCCGCATTTGTTTTCCAGCACCAGGTCGTAGGTACCGGTGTCGTCTTTGTGTGCCTCTTTGATGACCAGCTCAGTGATGTCATCATAGGTGGCAATCATGGCCCGGTGGGAAATGTCACGACCATCCTTGGTCCACTTGCATGTAGGGATGGGTTTTCCCTTAATGGGTACAGACAGACGGATGACTCCACCCTGTCGCACCACGTAGCCCTCCTCGTATTTACGATCAAGTTCATAGTCGGGATAATCTGAAGAACACAGATTTTGTAAATTAAATTACAGATTCTGTGAAAGTATGTTGATTATTTGACTGAAAAATCAAACTTTAAATTGTGGAATGTTGCTGAAATACCAAGCATTTCCTGGACTTTAACCACTCCGGTAATCTCAGCGGGCTCTCCAGAACCGCCAGCGTTGCAGGCTATGACCCTAAACTTGTACTCAGCACCCTGGGGCATGTGGGTGAGAATGTACTCGCACATCTTGGTGGGCGTGGTGTTGCACAATGTCCATTCCACCTGGTCCACCTTCTGCATCTCGATCAAGTAACCAGTAATGACAGAACCACCCTCCTCTTCAGGTGGCAGCCAGGCAAGAGAGACTGAAGTTCTGGTGGTGTCAGTGACTCTGGGCTGAACTGGAGGACCTGGAGGCTCTGTTCAACAATACAAAGATATGTTTCATTAATCCTTTCATAAAGATGAAAATAGGTAAATGTAATTACAGTATCACTGCAGCTGCACTGAGCTTTGTAACATGTACCGATGGGATCCATGGCAACGGTGATGGCGGAGCTCTCGCTGGGTTTGCCAGTTCCTCTGGAGTTGATGGCGGTGACGCGGTGTTCGTACTCCAGGCCCTCTATCAGGCCGGAGGAGCGGTACCTGGTCATGGTGACTGTATTCTTGTTGATCCTCATCCACCTGTCAGAGTTGGCCTCTTTACGTTCGATAATGTAGCCAGCAATGGTGGATCCACCATTGTCCTCGGGTGGTTGCCAGGTCAGGGTCATGCCCTCGTGGGTGACATCCAGCACCTCTGGTCTGCTTGGAGGTCCAGGGATAGCTACACAGGAGCAGATAGATTAATAGATTAATTGAATGACAAATTAATATAAGAGATTCCCTGAGCGTCTGAATTGTTGGAGCTTGGAGGATAACTCACTCTTGGGGCTCTTGCATTCCACCACTTCGGACTGAAGGAAGCTGCCAACACCAAAGCGATTCATGGCAGCAACACGGAACACATATTCGGTTCCCTCTGAGAGTCTGGTAAACTTGAAGCAGGGTCGGGTCACTGACTCGGACACAGTGCTCCAGCCTGGCCGGTGGGCATCGCGCTGCTCCACCACATAGCCACTGACATTGGCACCACCATCCTTCTCTGGAGGTTCCCAGCTGACTGTCACGGACACGCCGTCAGTCTCCTCGATCTTCATTGGACCGACTGGGATGCCAGGTTTGTCTGGACAAACACACAAAGGTGGTTGGTTAGAATCTGCATATTATTTGCATTTCACTTGATATAGTAAATAATTTGGATTTTATGGTTTTCAGATCTCTGTGTATAACCTTAATTTGTGCATTACTTACCAAGGATGATGACCTTGATGACCTCGGTTGCGACGCCAACAGCATTTTTCACCTCAAGTGTGTAGTCTCCTGTGTCGTTGATGGTGGTCTCACGAATGACGAGGTGGGTGTAATTGCCGTTGCTGTCAATCTTGATGCGGTCCAGGCTGTCCTTTAGTTTGACGCCACCGAAGGACCAGGTGCAGACAGGCTGCGGTTTGGCCTTTATGGGGATGTTGAGGTCGATGGGTTTGCCACGGTGCACATGGACAATCTTCTGAGGGATGTTGGTCATGTCGATCTTGGGCGTCACTGAAAAGCACAGTCAATTCAAGTCAGTTTTTATTAATAGAAAGAACTTTTAATGGGGAAAACAGAAGAAACTAGAATAGCAATAGAGGAAGGATCCATCTCTAAACAATAATACAGATTTAGTGTTCATCATATTTTAATGATTTCTGTGAAGCTTTTCAGAGTTTTAGCAAAGGCAGAAGTTATTGTGTGATGAATTGTGGATGTGTTATCTTACCCTTGATGTCCTCGATGGTGACAGGATTAACAGTGTCCATGGGTTCGCTGGCTCCCCTGCTGTTTGTGGCTCGGAGTCTGAACAGGTACTGGTCGTTCTCTGTCAGGGACTGGATGGTGTACTTGGACACTGAGGACTTGACTGATGCCACCGCACTCCACCTGTCCGAGCCAACTTTGCAGGCCTCGATGGTGTAGCCTGCCAGCCTGCTGCCGCCATCGTGCAGCGGTTTCTCCCAGTGCAGCGTGACAGTGGACTTGGTGACATCGACAACCTGGAGGTTCAGAGGCACAGACGGCACCTCGCATACCAGCACGGGCTGGGCTGTCTCACAAGGCTCACCGATGCCATAGATGTTCTCTGGAAGGACTCTGAAGTGGTAGTACATTCCCTCCTCCAGACCGGTGATCCTGAACAGGGTCTTCCTACACTCAGTGGTGACAGTCTTGTATGACTTCATGTTGGCGTCACGCTTCTCTATGATGTAGTTGCTGACGTGGGCGCCACCATCGATGCTTGGGATGTCCCATGTGATCACAACGGACTCCTTGGTGTAGTCCTTCACCTTTACAGAACCTGGAGGGCCAGGAGTGTCTGCAGGAAGAAGATGATTTGAGGAATGGAAGATATTAGTGTGTGTTTTTATACACATTACCCGAAAATTCATTGTAATATCTGTGGAAACTTGGGATGACATACCATAGATTTTAACCATGATGGTGGCAGTCTTCTTTCCCGATGGGTTCTCTGCCTCCACAATGTATTTTCCAGAGTCGTAGCGACTGACCTTCTCCACCATCAGCGAGGTGTAGCTATCTGTGGTCTCAATGTAGCCACGGCTCTGCAGCTCCACACCAGTCTTCCTCCAAGACACTACTGGTGCCGGCCGGCCGGTGACAAATACCATCAGGCGAAGGGTTCCTCCGGCACGTAGACACACCGTTTTCTTCAGGTCGTCAGCCAGCTCCAGGTCAGGCATTTCTGAATGGTTGGATGAAGAATAGTAAGGGGATAATGTCGTGATTGCCATTTTCTGGAATATTCCCATTGTAATCCTAATAGTAACACTAATGTCTATAATACCTCAACATAGTAATTTCAGAAATTAGGTTAAAAATGTACTGGCTTGGCTAACTGGATCATTTATAGTGTTTCTGATGGATATTGATAGATTCATTGTTAATAATAAAACTTAACTAAGCGTGTTTACTAAATTTAGCTTTTTCAACCTTGTGCGATGTTATTAGTTCTTGGATATTGCATTAATTATAGTAATAAAAACTCTATGATGGATACAGGTGATTACTAAACTAAACAGAAATCAAACAGAAATCTGCTTTGACTCACCAATTCTCTCCAGTGGCTCGATCTCAGCGCTAGGTTCACTGAACTCTCCGGTGCCGTTGCAGTTGATGGCAGCTACCCTGAACCTGTACGTCTTACTGGCTGCCAGGCCCGCGGCCACATACTCGTTGGTCTTGAGAGGTTTGGCGGTGGCACGGTACCAGTGCTCTGTGTCCCCCTCAAGGATCTCCACCACGTAGCCGGTGACGTCTGAGCCACCATCGTACATGGGCCTGGTCCAGGTCATGCTGATGCTGTGTTTGGTTGTATCAGTGATGCGAGGCATTGATGGAGGAGCTGGGGCATCTTGTAGTGGACAAATACAAATATGTTCATATCTGCTTGTCGCAACAAAGAACTGTAACCTTTTACACAGTTTAAGGTTTTGAAAATGAAAGACTGTGAATAAAATCTCTTACATATGGGGTCTTTACAGAGGATGTACGGTGAGGCGTCGCTGGGCTGGCTGTATCCAGCAGCGTTGACAGCTGTCACTCTGAACTGGTACTCGCTTCCTTCCAACAGGCCTGTGATCTTCAGACGGGTGTCATAGATGGTGTAAGTCTTATTCACCCGGGTCCACCTGGTCCAGAAAAGAAACACAAGGATATTGTGAGAGAGAGGCAATAAGAATCATTATGTCATGAAGCGAAAACTAAAATCTGTCCATTAAAGTCTTTAGAAGTTGATCCCACCTCGTGCTGCTCTTCTCTCGTTTATCCACTATGTAGTTTTTGATCTCACTGCCTCCATCACTCTCAGGTTTAAGCCATTCGATGATGACATGCTCCTTGCCCACAGTTGTAGCCTCTGGAGTTCCCGGCTGGGATGTGATGGCTGAGGAGAAAAGGGGTGGGACAGGTCAGAGAGACAAATCTAGTTTCCCCTTTTCATAAGTTATACGTTTTCATAACTTTTTTAAAGTAAAAGACTAAAATAGATTTTAAAAAATAACTCAAAACATTAAAACCTTTGGCGGATATTGTTGTAAATATTTATTTATAATTGTTTCATATATATCTAATTCTACTTTAGATGGTTGGTATAGCGCCACCATCAGGAAAATTGCCTCAACTCAGAGCAATGTGGCTTACTATAGGCATTCCTGGCAATGACGGGTTCGGACTCCAGTGGAACTCCAGGCCCGAACTTGTTGACTCCTCTGACTCTGAAGATATACTCGTTGTTCTTGATCAGCCTGGAGCTGACACATGACAGTGACTTGCACTCGGTCTCCATGATGACCCAGTTGAGTCGGCTGGTCTCACGACGCTCCACGATATAATGGGTGACAGTGTCTCCACCATCCTCCAGAGGAATCTTCCAGGACACTGTACACTTCTCTTCTGTCACTCTGCTGATCACAATCTTATCAGCTGGAGCTCCAGGAGTGTCTGAAAGACAGAAACCGAGGGTTAGATCAGAAAGCCAAGTTTTGTTGACAGTTAAGAGTCAACTATGATACACTTAAAATTATGTTAATTCCAGTTTAATTCATGTAGTTTGTTGGCTGCTTACCCAGAACTTTGACATTCACAGCGGCAGTCTTGATTCCGCTGGCATTCTTGACAGTCAGGATGTATCTGCCCGTGTCGTATCTGTCACAGTTCTTGATGACAGCCATGGCTCTGGTTGCGGTGTAGGTCAAAGAGTATTTCTCTCCGAGCTCCAAAATCTTTTCTCCCTTCGACCAGTACACTGTGGGTTCTGGTTTACCACCCACAGCACCATCCAAGACAAGGTCAGAGCCAGCCGTGACGGTAACAGTCTCACGGGCAAGCTTGCTGTCCAGCTCAGCTTTGGGAGGAGCTGCAACAAGCAAGAAACAAATGGTTTTTACCTCAATAAATTCAATTAAATTTTATTTATTCAATTTTAAATGACAGTTATACTGTATGTCATTGAGCTTTTTGTAAGGATGATACATACAATACACATACAATAGCAAAAATAATTGTAACTCTCCAACTTACAGTACTCATCCTTGCATGTGACTGGTCCAGTGGACTCAGAGGGTGCACTGTGGACGCCAGCGGCATTCTTGGCGATGACGCGGTACTCAAAGGTCTCTCCTTCTCCCAGGTTGGTGACAGTGAAGTAGTTCTCTGTGATGGTGGTGTAATTGCACTTGAGCCAGCGGTTGTCGTCCCACTCATCTGTGCTATACACTTTCCTCTCCACCACGTAACCAGTGATCTTGCTGCCACCGTCATTGAACGGCACAGTCCAGCACAACGACACAGAGGAGCGGGTGATATCAGTCACCTCGGGTTTACCAGGAGGATCTAAGCAGGGACAGGGAGAAGTTTACCGTAAAACTGTAGCTCAGCTTTCATCACAACGCTTTTTATTTTCTTAAAGGGTTAAACTGTTTTAGCTGAGTGAGGAGAACAGTAAAAAGTGTTTTGTAATCAAATTAACGGACAAATGTGACGGACAACCTGTCATGGGTTTACAACACATTTTTGTAGTTAAGATATAAATATTTCCCTTACCAACAGGATTGAGTGCCAGCACAGGTCTGGAGGCCTCGCTAGCCTTGCTGAGTCCAGCGATGTTCATGGCATATACTCTGAACTGGTACTCCAGGCCCTCAATCAGGTTGGACACCTTGTAATGGCACTCCAGGCAGGGTAGCTTGTTCTCCCTCACCCAGAGGATTGTGTTCCTCTCCTTCTTCTCGATCCAGTAGCCTGTCACCTGGCTGCCACCATCAGCATATGGCAGGTCCCATTTGATACTAATGGCGTTGGCAGACACGGATACCACATCTGGACGATTTGGAGGACTTGGAGGAACTGTGGAAGTTAAAGTGAGGTGAGATATAGTGAGATAACGATGTGGCATCCATAAATATGAAAAAAACAGGACTTGCATTTACTTTTGGATAACCTTTGAACAGAACTTACCAAATGGATGCTCAATGACAACAGGAGCCGACTCAATGGACTTGCTGACTCCAAACTTGTTCTCAGCGCACACTCTGAAGGTGTACTCCATATACTTGGTGAGATGAGTCACTTTGATTGTGGTTCTCTTCACACTGGAGTTAACCACTTGCCAGGAGGCAGAGCCAGCTTCTCGTTTTTCCACAATGTAGTTGGTGATATCAGAGCCGCCATCATCAGCTGGCGCCGACCAGGCGAGGTTGCAGGTCTCTGATGAGACTCCAGAAATCTCCACAGGGCCTGTAGGTGGACTTGGTCTGCCAACCACAAGTACAGTCACTGTGAACGTCTTCACACCAGCAGCATTCTCCAGGATCAGGTAGTATTTGCCACTGTCACTTCTCTTGCTGTCTCTCACCAAGAGAGTGGTTCTCTCCTTTGTGGTTCTTATTATGACTCTGTCTGTCTCCTTCAGCTTCATCTCCTCCAGCTTCCAGGTGACTTTAGGTGCAGGCCTGCCGCTGATGGGGATGTCGATTGTGAAGGTGTTGGAGAGCTTGCAGGTGATAAGCTGGTTGGTGATGCTGCTGAGGTCAGCAGTTGGTTCGATGCGAGGCTCCTTAATGACCACAGAACTAAAGGTGCCCTGAGGCTCACTGATTCCAGCATCGTTCTTGGCCTTGACTCTGAAGTCATACTCTGTGTTCTCAAGCAGACCCTCGACCAGCATCTTCTGGGACTTTGTCTCTCCGCCAAGAACCCAGCGATCAGTGCCTTTAGCTCTGAATTCAACAATGTAGCCTCTGACGCGGCTACCTCCATCATGCTCCGGTTTCAGCCACACCAGGGAGGCTGTGGAGTTGGTGGTGTCGACAACATCAAGTCTCTTGGGTGGTGCAGGTTCTTCTGTGGCAATGATGGGCTCCGTCATCTCGTGAGGTTCCCCTTGGCCATACTGGTTAACTGCAGTCACCCTGAATAGATATTGCACACCAATATCCAGACCAATTACCCTGATTATCTGTCGAGAGCACTTGGTGCTGACCTCCTGCCAAGCCAGGCGGCTGGCCTCACGCTTATCTACAAGGTAGTGATGGATTCTGGATCCGCCATCATTGGTAGGGGCATCCCACATCATTGTCAAGGCTCCGCGGGTAACGTCTTTGAAAGTGATGGCTCCTGGAGGTCCGGGTGTGTCCAGCACTTTGACAGTGAATGTGATGGACTTGCGGCCGCTGTTGTTCTCCAGGAACAGGGTGTATTTGCCAGCTTCGTACCTAGTACAACCCTCAATGGTCAAAGTAGAGGAGGAATCTGTGGTGTTGATATCGCCCATGACAGGCAGCTCACCATCTACCTTAGACCAGGTGGCAAGAGGAGCTGGTTTGCCACGGAAGGCAATGTGAAGGGTGACAGTACCGCCATTCTTTACAATGTGAGTCTGCTTGAAATTGGCATCAATGTCGATCTCAGGAGATCTAAGTCTGTCCAGAGCCTGAACAGCGTTGGGCATCACTGAGGCTTCGCCCTCTCCAGATCCGTTCACAGCACTGACCCTGAACTTATAGAGCTCTCCAGGCACCAGGCCCTTGGCAGTATACCTGGTGTGGATGCAAATCTGGCTGTTGACTCTGTGCCATTCCTCAAGACTGGCCTTACACATATCAATATTATAGCCAATGATTTCCATGCCACCATCGAAGACAGGCTTGGTCCATTCCAGGCTGACTGAGGACTTGGTGGAGTCAGTGACCTATACAACAAGAAAAGAGCATAGTTTTATAGTGTAATTTCTAATGTATATTTTTCTTTGTTCCTTTTCCTTCTTTTCATTAAAGTTATTTTTGAGGTTTCTTCTGTTCTAAAATAGAACATGATTTGTGAGCTGATTTTCAATAATATAAAGATTCAGCTATTCAAAATAGCCTTCATATCTTTATTTATCAGTGTATTCAGATTTTTGTTAATTATGAAATGAAAATTAAACAAAAGAAAATCAGGATGAGAATTTGAAGATTGACCTTAACATGAATGGTTCTTCTTTTACAATTCCATGCAGTGTCCCTGCAATCCTACCTTGATTACTGTGGGGGCACTAGGAGCACTAGTTGGCTCTCTGCATTTGAAGAGCCTGGAGGTACTGCTGGCCGGTCCGACACCAGCGCCATTTTCAGCCATGACTCGGAATTCATACTCGTTGCCCTCAGTGAGGTTAGTGACACGGTGTCTTAGCTCCGTGATGGCCCTCTTGGAGGAAACCTTCACCCAACGCAGGCTCTTTTTCTCTCTTCTCTCTAGGATGTATTGTTTGATCTCGTTTCCTCCATCTGACCTTGGCCTGGTCCAGCACATAGTGATGCTGTTTCCGGTCACATGGGTAGCATCTGGGGTGCCAGGGGCATCGGGCACAGTGGGGGTGGGGGGAGTGGTAAGTTAGAAAATCTTTTGGAAATATTTTAAATGGAAGTTATTGACAGTTAATATGTCTAAATATGTCAGACAAGAACTGTGAGTGACTTTACTTACTGTATTGCATCTGTGCGATGAGAGGATCAGAGTCCAGTGGTTTGCCGACACCAAACTTGTTGACAGCAGAGATTCTGAACTGGTACTCATTGCCCTTGATGAGGTTGGTGGCATTGTAAGAACATGCTTCACATTTGGAGGTGACCAAGGCCCAGGAGATCCTGGATGTCTCCCTCTTCTCCACCATATAGTGGGTGATGGCGGCACAGCCGTCGTTCTCTGGTGGGTTCCACCACACGGTGCACTTCTCAGCCGTGATGCCGGTGAATCGGATGGGACCCTCGACAGGTCCTGGGGTATCTGCAGAGAAACAGAAAAAAGTTTTTGTTTTAGTTTTAGAGTCACTTGAAAAATATTCACAAATTGTGATATTGTAAAATCATATTCATGATGCCTTTGTGAGCTTAAGTGATAATAGAAACAGGTTTAAAAATGTTTGAATCATAAATCTTTACCAAATAACAAGTCATTGTTTACCAACCTTGTACTCTGACATTGACATCAGCTTTCTTAGTACCGGAGCTGTTCTTGGCCTCTACAGTGTAGATGCCACGGTGGTTCCTATCAGCATCACGGATAAAAAGACTGCTGGCGCCAATGCTTGTGGCAATCTCAATGTCAATCATGATCCTCTTGTCAATCTCTCTGCCATCTTTGTACCAGATAACCTGGGGGACGGGACGTCCTGTGATAGAGCAGCCAAGCTTAACATTCTCTCCAGCCCTCAGGGTGGACACCTGGTCTGGAGACCACTCGATCTCGGGTGCAACTAGAGGTGCAAAGAGAATGAACAAATGAGGAATCAGCATAATCAAAGGGTTGTGAAAAACCTATTATTCACTAATTTTTCTATATTTTTAGAAATTAGAAAATACTTACTGCTTTCATCCTTGGTCATAATGTATCCAGAGGAGTTAGATGGTGGACTGACTGTGCCCACAGCATTCCTGGCAATCACTCTAAACTCGAATCTGTCTCCAGCAGACAGGCTGGTCACAGTGAACTGGGTCTCGCTGATATCAGTGAAGTTGCACCGCAGCCATTTGCCTCTACCTTGGCGCCTCTCCACACTGTAGGCCACAATTTTGCTGCCTCCGTCCCTCTTGGGGATGTCCCACTGCAGGGTGACTGAGTCTCTGGTCACATCGATGCAGACAGGGTTGCCAGGTGGATCTAAACAGAAGAAAAATAAGCAGGTTATCCATAGTGCTCGATTGAAAAATCCTGAACTAATAGCAAAGCAAACCAATACAGCATGTACTTACCAACAGGGGAGATAGCGAGCGCATGTTTGCTCTGTTCACTAACAGTACTAAGTCCGGCGTTGTTCTCAGCGTAGACTCTAAAGGAGTACTCCAAACCCTCAATGAGACCAATGATCCTGTACTCTTTGTTAGAAATAATGGTGGAGTTCACCTTCTGCCACATGAGGCTGTTCCTGTCCTTCTTCTCAACATGATAACCCAAAATTGGGGATCCTCCATCGAAGCCTGGGGCCTCCCACCTAATGGTCATACCATCACTAGTGACGTTGAAGGCCACTGGCTTTCCTGGAGGGCCTGGAGGTTTGTACTGGTGCTGGGCAACGATTTCTGGGGAGATGAGTGATTCACTGACTCCATACTTGTTCTCTGCACGGACTCTGAACTGGTAATGAGTTCCCTTGACCAGGTTGGGAATCTTAAAGGTGGTCCTGACAACACTAGAGCAGACCATCTTCCAGTTGGCCTGGGAGATCTCACGCTTCTCCACGCTGTAGCAGGTGATCTCACCACCTCCGTCTTCCTTTGGCTGATCCCAGGAGATGATGATACTCTGGGCTTTAATCTCATCGAAGCGGATGGGACCAACAGGCACTGAGGGAGGTCCCAGAGTTATCACATTAATGTCAAAGTAGTTCTTGACAACTCTATTGTCCAGAACCAAGGTGTACTGGCCGGCATGTTCTTTCTTGGCTCCCCTGACTGTGACTGCAGTCTTGTTGTCAGTGGTCCTGAAGCGAACCTTCTCGCTTTCCTTCAGAGGCAAGTTATCCTTTAGCCAGCTGATTGCAGGTTTTGGTTTACCCTTGAAAGGCAACTCGATGTGGATGTTCTGACCAATACGAACAGCAAGCCCTCCATTGGGGTAGTCAACAAGGTTGGCCTCAGGTGGAATGAGGAAGTCCATCACTGTGATTGGACCAATCTGAGAGAAGTCACTGTTGCCCTTCTCATTCTTGGCAAACACTCTGAAGTCCATGACAGCATTCTCCTTGAGTCCTGTCACCTCACAGCTGCAGCGTTTGCATGTCGCACCCAAAGTCCAGGTGGGATCTTCCTTGGTTCTCTTCTCAATTATGTATTCAGTGATGTAGCTGCCACCATCGTGGTCAGGTCTTGTCCACTGCAGGGTAACAGAGGTTTTTGTAGAGTCCACCATTACCAGGTCTTTAACAGCTCCTGGGGTTTCTGTGGCTCTGACAGGCTCAGTGGTCTCGCAAGTGTCACCCACACCATACTCGTTTTCAGCAGACACACGGAAGAAGTAAGCTTTATCTTCCTCCAGGCCTGAAACCTTGTAAGATGTGTTGGCACACTCGGCGGTGATCACCTGGTAAGCCTTCATGGTGGAGGCCTTCTTCTCAACAATGTAATTAGTGACAGGGGAACCACCCTCAATAAGAGGAGCCTCCCAGCTCAGTGTCAGCTTTCCTCTTGTCACGTTCTTAATCATCAATTTCTGGCAGGTGGCTGGACTGTCCAGAACCTTCAGGGAAACTGTGATTATCTTGGGTTCTCCTACACCATTCTCAATCTCCAGCAGGTACTTGCCGCGGTCGTCACGGGTGACCTTGGGGATGAGGAGTGTTGTTGCTCGCTCAGTGCTGTTAATGGTGTAGCGGTTGTCACCGGTAATGTTGCGGTCATCACGGCGCCAGGTAACATTGGGGGCAGGGCGTCCCTTCAGGGGAATAAACACTTCAACATCACGGCCAGCTCTGGCTGTGTACTGGGTTGTCATGGGAACGTCCAAGTCCAAATCGGCCTCCTCTGTGGGAGAGGTGGGAAATGGGAAAGACCAGAAATTAATAATACGAACAATGCTTTTATTTTGATCACAAAACATAAAAGACTCATGTCCTGTGTTAATACTGTGGAAGCATCTATGTATACAAACCCAAGATATCTTTGGCTTGCACAGGCTGGTACATTTTGATGTCTTCTCCTTTGCCCTTGCAGTTGACAGCAGAGACTCTGAAGAAGTAGTAGGTTCCAGGTTTCAGGTGGGATATCACATACTCGCAGGCCTTAACCTGCGGGTTAATGGTCACCCATTCTCTTTCCTCTGTGTTCATCTGGTCCAAAATGTAGTGTGTAATTTCACTGCCACCATCATAGACAGGCTTCTCCCAGCCAAGGGTGATGGAGGTCTTTGTGGAGTCAACCACACGCAGCTTGGATGGCTCACCAGGCAGATCTGAGGAAGACAAAAAAAAGGATACAAATGTTTTCAGTAGTTCCATGTAAAGACCTTACAATGAAGAAATTCCTAAAATGCTGGGGGATGCCAGTAAGTACAAATTGTATGCATACCGATGGGGTCGTAGGCCTTGTAGAGGTCAGAGGACTCAGAGTAGTTTCCTGCTCCAGCTTTGTTGATAGCACAAACTCTGTACTGGTACTCGTTGTTCTCCACCAGGTTGGTGACTTTCTGCCTGGTATCTCTGATAGTGCCCTTCACCACCTAGACAAAAATGGATGTTATGATGCTTACAAATACCAGTTATTAGTTTGGCTTCTTTTATTCTTAAAAACAAATTAAATATCTAAAGATAGGTCAGTAAACAAACCTTGAACCATTGCAGACTCTTCTTCTCCCTCTTCTCCAGGTAGTAGCCATCAATGTCGCTGCCTCCATCCAATGCTGGTCTTTCCCAGATCACTGTCATAGTGGACTTAGTGATCATGGTCACTTTAGGCTTGGATGGCTCACTTGGAGGTACTGTATGAAATCAAAATGATCAACTTAGATGAAATTAACTAGTTTTCCATTAAAAAATATTTAAGTAGAAAAATATTATTATTTTAAGTAAGTATTGCAAATGTTCTATATTCATTTTCTTCATATTCGTATATGCAAATCATAAAATAATACATTATAGTGTAGTTATTTTTCAAAGCTAATAATCAACTCTGACTTGATTGATGATCATTGACAGTGACATTATTCAGTTTGCTTACCAAATGCGTTCTTGGCAACCACAGGCTCAGACTCTAGTGGGTCTCCGATGCCGTATTTGTTGATTCCACGGACTCTGAAGATGTACTCATTGCCCTGAATGAGTCTGGGCACATTTACAATGCAGTCTACCAGTTTCTCTGAGACAATGGACCACATGACCCTGCTGGTCTCCCTCTTTTCCACAATGTAATGTGTTACCATAGCACCGCCCTCATCAGCAGGTGGAGACCACATGATGGTGATGTTGTCAGCTGTGACTTTCTTAAACTGAATCTCTCCATCAGGGGGTCCTGGCTTGTCTGGGTAGGGCAGGGACATATTTATGCATGTCAGTGTCTACAGTGTATATAAGATAAATGCCATTCAAGGCAAAATTAGATCAGTACAGTCATAGGCACAATACAATACAAACTCATTAAATAATATGTGAATACCTTGAATGAGCAGCCTGACAATGGCGCACGCAGATCCCAGGGAGTTCTTCACCTTGACTTCGTATGTTCCAGAGTTCAGACGAGTGGTTTCCTTCAGGAACACACTGGTGGACTCGAATGCGTGTTTGAAAGAGAGCTGGGCACTGGGCTTAAGCTCTCTGCCATCCTTAAACCACTCGATAGTGGGAGCAGGTTTGGCTGTGATATTAAATTTGAGCTCCACATTAGACTCAGCTCTGTACTTGACCTCGTTGAGATACTCGTGTGGTATTTCAATCTCTGGGGCACCTGGATGATAAATAAAAAAACGGTAGGTGAGTTTAGATTCTGATGGATGTGGTCCTCACAAGAATCAGAATCAGAATCAGAAATATAATAATAACCCAGGGGGAAATTATTTTAAATAAGGTATTAGATCCAAGTGCTAAAGGACTAATGTGATATCCAGTCACACAGTTCACAAAAAACACTGGCATAGTGTTTAGTTTGTGACAAAAATTTACTTTTGTACAAAAAATGCCCAGAAACACAAATGAGACCTACCATAGGTGTCGACACATGTAGCTGGTCCAGCAGTCGTGGATGGGTTGCTCACTGAGCCGACAGCATTCTTGGCCATGACTCTAAACTCGTATGTCTCGTCCTGGGTAAGGCCAGTCACAGTGTAGCGGGTGTCTGTGACATTGGTGAGGTTAGCCTTGGACCATCTAGCATTAATGCCCTCTTTCTTCTCAATGATGTAGCCAGTGATTGGAGATCCTCCATCATAGTTGGGCTTCTGCCAGGCGAGGCTAATGGAGTTCTTGGTGATGTCACTGATGCGCAAGTTGATGGGTGGCTCTGCACAAACAGACAGTAAGAACTCGTTAAGCAACTGTTGCTAAGAAGTAAAATTGGATTTTATTGACTTTGAAATAATTTTTTTGAGATTAAACTCACCACAGGCATCAATAGCAAGCACTGCATCAGAAACCTTGCTGAAGGCACTGATTCCAGCAGCGTTCTCTGCTGCCACCTTGAACTCATAAATAAGTCCAGCATTGATGTTGGTAACCTTGAAGTGTGTAGCACGGATCACCATTTTGTTCACTCTCTGCCAAAGGATGCTGTTCCTGTCTTTCATCTGGAGATGGTAGCCAAACACATGGCTGCCACCATCTGACTTTGGCTCCTTCCAGGCAACAGTTATGGTCTCCCTGGTTACTGCAGTGATCTCTGGAGTCGATGGAGCATCAGGAATAGCTGGCGGGTAAAAGTTGAAGGGTTAACATTAACATTGACGAACAGAGTAGAAAAAAATAATACAATGGAAGTTAAAAGAGGGAAGCAAACCAAAGACCACTTACTGTAAGGAAGGCTGACAGTGACAGTTGGTGAGTCAATGTGCTCGCTGATTCCATATCTGTTCTCAGCCCTGATTCTGAACTGGTACTCCAGGCCAGTGGTTAGCTTCATGATCTTCATGGTGCAGCGGGCCACAGCAGAAGAGACATCCATCCAGTTGGCTGTTGTTGTCTCTCTCTTCTGGATGATGTAGTTGGTGATAGGGCTGCCACCATCATATGCTGGTGGGAGCCACTTCAGGCTCACACTTTCTTCTGTGACGTCAAATAGTTCCACAGGTCCTACTGGGGCACTGGGGCGGTCCAGAACCACAATGTTTACAAAAGACTTGGTGGTTCCAATGGAGTTGGAGGCAGTAATATTGTAGCGTCCTGAGTCTGCAGCAATGCTCTCACGCAAAGTGATCTTGATGCTGTCAGGGGTGACTTCAGAGTTGAACCTCATTGTTGACTTGAGCAGAACATTATCCTTGGACAGGCTGACTTTAGGCAAAGGCCTGCCTGTCAGTGGGATCTCACACTTGAGGTTGGAGCCAGCTCTGACATATACTGTGTTGTGGGGGAAGTCCTTCATGATGATCTCAGGGGATTCTAGGGTAAAAAAGTAACAAAGGCTGCTGTATCAGTGGAAATTAAGTGCAATATGGTGTAATTTGCAATTATAATAATCATTATAAGTGATGAATGTTGGCTTATTCTGTTGTTTGTATTTCTTCTTCATTAATCACATTGTTGAATATGATCAATCTGAGCAGTCCGTAACTTACCAAGTTGGTCTTTGACCAGTACAGGGGTCAACATTTCCTTAATATCACTGAATCCAGCGTGATTTTCAGCTCTGACTCTGAAGAAGTACTCAGCATTCTCCCTCAGACCAGAAACTGTTAAGTGGATGGACTTGGTTACACCACACTTAACCCACTTCTCCTGGCCTTTCTCCAGAGCTTCTACCAGGTAGCCAGTAATTCTGCTGCCTCCATCTTGTTCTGGTTTGGCCCAGGCCAGGGTTACACTCTCCTTGGTCACATCAGTCACACCCAGCTTTGGTGGTGGGCTTGGTTTTTCTGGAGAAAGAGGAGATAGTTTGTTTGATTATAATAACTGGGTATTATCTTTTGTGTAACAGTAAGAATTTATAATGAGACATTTCAATACCTGTGATCTTGGTTCCCTCTTTGGTCTCAGCAGGAACACCAACCCCATACTCATTCTCGCCAGTCACTCTGAAGTAGAAGACTTCTCCCTCCGGCAGGTCTGTCACCTTGTAGGTCAGTCTGTGGCATGTGTCAGTCAACCTCGTCCATCCTTTCTTGCTGGCCTCACGGATATCAACAAGGTAGTTCTTCACTGGTCCTCCTCCCTCATTCTCAGGAGTATCCCAGGTTACAGTAGCAGAGGTCTTGGTCACGTCCTTGACCTCCACATTGGCAGGAGCTCCGGGGGAGTCCAGAACTCTGACATTAAGTGTCAAGGAGGAGGTTCCAGATACGTTGGACAAGGTGATGGTGTATTTGCCAGAGTCGCTGCGAGTTGCTTTCTCTAAGGTGATGGAGGTGAAGGTGTCTGTGGTGTCAATGGCAGCACGAACTCGAAGGTCAACATCAGGCTTAGTCCATGAAACAGTGGGGACAGGTTTGCCTCTGAAGGGCACTGTCATGGTGAATGAGCTACCATCTTTCACAATAAGAGTCTTCCTCATCTCATTGCTAATGTCAAAGACAGGCTCCTCTTCTCTTTCTTTGGCAACTTGTTTGTCTGTCTCAGGACTGGGCTCACTGACTCCAATCTTGTTAATGGACTTGACAACAAAGACATATTCAGCGCCAGGTGTCAACTTTACCACTGTAAACTCTGTGTTCTTGGTGTTCTGGACTCCAACAATCCATTCATCATCTAAAGTCTTCCTGTATTCTACTCTATAACCAGTCACAGGTGCTCCACCATCAAATAGTGGCTTGTTCCATGAAAGGGTGACTGTGGTCTTTGTAGAGTCAATGATCTTAGGTTTAGCAGGAGGTGAAGGCAGGAACTGTGGGTCTTCAGCCTTGGTAAGCGGGCAAGGGATGCTGGGAGCACTGAGGCCAGCAGAGTTCTCTGCAAACACTCTGTACTCATACTCACTGCCCTCATGAAGGTGTGAGGCTTTGACTCTGAGGTCATAAACAGGTTTCTTGTTGACACGGCACCAGCGAAGGCCAGTCTTCTCTCGTTTTTCAATGACATAGCTAGAGATACTACTGCCACCATCAGAAACTGGTCTTTCCCAACAGATGGTCATTGCCTCACTAGTAACTGAGGTGACCTGGACATTAGTAGGAGCTGCAGGTACAGTGAATGGATCCCTGGCCTTTGTTGGCTCACTCTCCAGGGGCTCACCATCCCCATATTTGTTGACTCCCCTGACTCTGAAGATGTACTCATTTCCTTTGAGCAGCTTGGTCACCTTACAGGTGGTTGCCTTCATGTCACCATAGACTAGAGTCCAGGCAAGGCGACTGGTCTCGCGTTTCTCCACAATGTAATGCATGATTTCAGCACCGCCATTCTCCTGAGGGGGTCCCCACGCAATGGTGCATTTCTCTGCTGTGAGGCCAGACACTGTCAAAGGACCTGAGGAAGGTCCAGGTCTGTCCAGAACCTTACAGTTAATAGCCACTGACCTGGTTCCAGCCACATTGTGCAGGGTCAGGACATACTGGCCAGAGTCCCTTCTGATAGTGTCTCTGACAATCAGTGTGGTTGTGAAGTTGGTGGAGGTGATTTCACACCTGGCCTTGGACTCAATCTCCTTCCCATCCTTAGACCATGTGACAACTGGGATTGGACGGCCAGTGACTTCAGCATCAATTTTAATGATATCTCCAGCCTTTATGACAACCAGCTGTCTGAACTTATCTTCCAGGATAATAGTGGGAGGGTCCACATCATCCTTTACTGTGACAGGACCAGTGTTCTCTGAGGGAGCACTCAACTGCTCTGTAGAATTTTTAGCAATGACATGGAAGTCATATTGGACATCCTCTGTGAGGCCTGTGACGTCAAAGTAGGTGTCTTGCAGGTTGGTGAAATTACATTTCAACCAGCGACCATTGGGAAGTTCTTTACGCTCAACAATGTAGCCAGTAACCTTTGCTCCAGCAACAAACTCTGGCTTTTCCCAGAAGAGGGAAACTGAGGTCCTGGTAATGTTGGTGACTCTAAGGTTACATGGAGGTTGGCATGGATCCCTAGCTGCCACAGCATCACTGGCCTTAGTGCATGGACCAATGCCAGCAGCATTCTCAGCATAGACTCTGAACTGATACAACAGGCCTTCTTCAATGCCTGTCATCTTAAATTGGTTCTCAGTCAGCAAACCTCGGTTGACCTTCGTCCACAGGATGCTGCTTTGGTCTTTGCATTCAATGTGATAACCTATAACAGGGCTTCCACCATCACTGGCTGGTCTGCCCCATTCCACAAGCATGCCATACTTGGTGGCATGGGCAACATGTACATTGGTTGGAGGGCCAGGAGGCTCGAAGGGATACTGAGCAACAACAGGAGCAGAGTCAATGGCATGACTCTTGCCATAACGGTTCTCTGCTGCAATACGGAACTGGTACTCCACTCCCTGTGTGAGACGAGACACCTTGATTGATGTCCTGGCTACTGTGGCTGAGACAATCTGCCATGTGGTTGTGGTAGTGTCTCTCTTCTCCACCACATAGTTGTTGATTTGGCATCCACCGTCGTAGGTTGGAGAATCCCAAGACAGGGAGATGAAGTCAGCACTCACTTCATCCACCTTAATGTTGCTGGGTGGACCAGGTTTGTTCAAGATTATAACAGAGATTTCAGCTGTCTTGGTGCCAACTGAGTTAGTCAGAGTAATCTCATACTTTCCTACATCTTCCTTGGCAGCATCCTTGATTAAAATCTTGGATGAGGTCTTGGAAGTAAGAACATTGACCCTAGTCGTCTGCTTAAGCACCTGACCATCCTTCTTCCAGGACACCTCAGGCTGAGGTCTCCCTTTGAAGGGAACATCAATCTTCAAGTCATCTCCTGCCTTTACACTGTATGTGTCGAACAACATGTTGATGGTGGGCTCTGCTGTGATGTCCTTCACCACCACAGGGGTAGCCAGAGGCTTGGCATCACTCTTGCCCTTATCATTCACAGCAATCACCCTGAAGGCATACTCCTCTCCTGTTGTGAGTCCATCAATAGTAGCTTCCAGTGCTTTGACTTCACTGCATACAGTCCATTTGTCATCTCCTTTGGGCTGCATCTCCACAATATAATTTGAAATTTTGCTGCCTCCATCATAATCAGGTTTCTCCCAGGAAAGGGTAACAGTATGACGAGTGACGTCAACCAGGACAACCTTACCAGGAGGCAAAGGAGCCTCAGACACCTTGACCTGATCTGTGGAGGCAGGTAGACCTACTCCCAGCTCATTTACAGCCAAGACACGGAAATAATATCGGCCTCCCTCCTGCAGGTCAGAAATAATGAACGAGTTCCTCACACAGTTAGTGCAAACACTAGTGAAAGCCATCCTCTTCTGCTCTCTCTTTTCTACAATATAGTGTGATATCTTAGCCCCCCCATCAATTAAAGGAGGCTCCCAGGAGAGCGAGACCGAATTTCTTTTCACATCCTTAACCTCCAGGTTGGTAGGAGCGCTCGGGGAGTCCAGAACTCTGACATTGATGAAGGCTGATTTAGAGCCACTGAGATTCTCAAGGGTCAGTACATATTTGCCAGTGTCAAATCTGTCGACATTCTCGATCACCAGCATTGTGTAAGAGCTTGTGACTTCAATCTGGGCACGCTCATTCAGAGTACCATCAGCCTTTGACCATTTGACCTCAGGCTCCGGCTTACCTCTGATTGTCACAAAGAGACGCAACGTGGCAGTGGCGCGAACATTGACCATCTTCCTTAGGTCAGCATCTAGTTCAATTTCAGGAGCCTCCAGCTTCTCTGCAGCAATCACAGACCCAGGTAGGTCCACATGCTCACCTACTCCCTCACAGTTAACAGCACAAATGCGGAAGTTGTACTCTGCATTCTCCTTTAGTTTCTTTACAGTGTAGTGAGTGGCCTGAACACCAGTGTATGGTGTGGAAGTTATCCACTCATCATCTGCTGCCTCCTTCATTTCAACAATATATCCACTGATCTGTGCTCCACCATCATAAATAGGTCTGGACCAGGACAAAGAGACTGTGGTGCTTGAATGGTCGGTGACTTTGGGGTTATTTGGAGGTCCTGGTGGATAAATGGCATCAAAGGCCTTGATGTATTCAGTTGGTGCACTAGGCTTTCCCACACCAGCAGCATTTTCTGCTGAGACCCTGAATTCATAGGAGTGACCCTCTGTGAGACCAGTACATCTGAATCTCAGGTCATTCAGCCTCTTCTTGTTGCACTTAGACCATCTGATGCCATCCTTATCACGTTTTTCAAGGATATATCCATCAATCTCAGCTCCTCCATTATCCTCTGGTCTCTCCCAGGTAAGCACTATGGAGTCCCTAGTGATAGCGCTGGCTTCTGGGATGGAGGGTGCACTGGGAGTGGTGAAGGGATTACGAGCAATAACAGGCTCAGATTCCAAAGGCTCACCAACACCGTATTTATTCACAGCAGTGACTCTAAAGATGTATTCATTTCCAGGCAGCAGTTTTGTGATTTTGTAACTGATGGCCTGGATCTTGGGCTCAACCACTGTCCATGACAAACGACTGGTCTCTCTTTTCTCAACGATGTAGTGTGAGATGCTGGCTCCACCATCATGTGAGGGATGGTTCCAGTGCAAATAACATTTTTCAGCTGTGACCCCTTTGACTTCTAGAGGGCCATCTGGAGGACCAGGTTTATCCAGAACTTTAACATTAACTGGGATCATCTTGACTCCTCCCACATTGACAAGTTTGAGAACAAAGTGGCCACCATCCACTCTGATGCAATCCTTGACTGTCAGAATTGTACGTGTGAGTGTGGTCTTGACCTCCATTCTTGGTGTGGTTTTGTCAATCTCCTTTCCATCCTTTAACCAAATGACCTCAGGCAGAGGCTTACCAGTGTAGTCTGCATCAATAACGAATGACTCACCAGCATTAACAACAGTCAGATCCTTGAATTTAGAATCCATGGTAGCTCCTGGAGCCTCAATTTCATCTTTGGCAGTAATTTCTCCTGTGCCCAGTGAAGGACGGCTGAAAATTCCAGCAGCATTCCTGGCAATGACTCTGAACTCATACACACAGTCCTCAGTCAGGCCACTGAGAGTGAAGTGGGTATCAATGATGTTGGTGAAGCTGGCCTTCATCCAGCGTGTATCCGGGTGCTTCTTCCTCTCAATCACATAGCCAGTGATTGCACTGCCCCCATCATACTGAGGCCTGCTCCACTGGAGTGTCACATGGTTTCTGGTGATTTCAATAGCTTCAGGAGTGCCTGGTGGGTCACAGGGATCCCTGGCTACTGTGCTTTCAGAGACCTTGCTAACTGGGCTTAGTCCGGCAATATTCTCAGCATAAACTCTGAATTCATACTCAATACCTTCTTCCAGCTCTGTAGTCTTAAAACGTGTTTCTGGGATTAAAAGCTTATTGAGTTTAGTCCATAGGAGGCTGTTTTTCTCTTTTCTCTCAAGGTGGTAGCCTAGGATGGGACTGCCTCCATTATTGGTGGGAGCTTTCCACTCAACAACCATGTTATCCTTGGTTGCAGCAGAAACAGTTGGTGTTCCTGGCGCAGCAGGCTCAGTGAATGGATACTGAGCAATAACAGCTGCAGAGACAATGGCAGGACTCTTTCCATATCTATTCTCAGCAGACACTCTGAATTGATATTCAACTCCAGTCTTCAATTTGGTGACTTTGATGGTTGTCCTGGCAATAGTAGCGGACACAATCTGCCATGCTGTTGTGGTGGTGTCTCTCTTCTCCACAATGTAGTTATTGATCTGACAGCCTCCAGTATACTCTGGTGGCTCCCAGGACAGAGTGACATAATTAGAGCTCACCTCCTCAATCTTCAAAGGGCCAGTGGGTGGGCCAGGCTTATCGAGGATAATAACAGTAATCTCCTCTGTACTTGTTCCAACACTGCTGGTGGCTGTGACAGTGTATTTACCAGAGTCTTCTTTATTTGCATCCTTGATGCACAGCTTAGTAGATGACGGTGTGCTTGATACATTAAGTCTGGTTGTCTCCTTAAGAGCCTGCCCATCCTTCTTCCATTCAACCTTAGGAACAGGGCGTCCCATCACTGGAATCTCAATCTTCAGATCCTCACCATTTTGTAAACTGTAAGTGTTGAATGTCATCTTGAATCTGGGTTCGATGGTTACATCTTTAGCAGTGACTGATGCAGCCAGCGGCCTAGGGTCACTCCTGCCCTTCTCATTGAAAGCTGAAACTCTAAACAGGTACTCATGCCCTGTGCTGAGGCCTGTGACAGTGCCTTCACAAGTTTTGGTTGTGGCAGCCACCACCCATTCCTCTGAGCCCACAGGCTGCATCTCAATGTAGTATCCCATGATCCTGCTGCCTCCATCGTGGTCTGGCTTCTCCCAAGAGAGTGAAGCTGTGGTTTTGGTCACTTCAGTTAAAGTGACCTTACCCACAGGCAGAGGAGGTTCAGAAGTCTTAACTGCATCTACTGTCTCAGCTGGGTGTCCCACACCAAACTCATTCTCTGCTAAGACTCTGAAATAGTAGATAGTTCCCTCAGTGAGGCCAGTGATACGGTAACTTGTCTTTGTGCATTTGTTGTCCACGTTAGAGTAAACCTTCCTGTTAGACTCACGCTTTTCAACCAGGTAATTCTTGATTCTTGCACCACCATCAATCAGAGGAGGCTCCCAGGTCAGAGTGACACTTTGTCTCTTAATGTCTTTTACTGTTAGATTCACTGGGGCCCCTGGAGTGTCCAAAACTTTAACAGAAACAAAGGCAGATTTTGTGCCAGCACTATTTTCCAAGTTGAGGATGTATTTTCCAGCATCATATCTGTCACAGATGTCAATGGAGAGCTGTGTATAGTCTTCACCAGTCTCTATCTGAACTTTACTGGGCAGTTCTCCATCCTCTTTGGCCCAGCAGATCTCAGGAGTAGGTCGTCCCTTGAATGGAATGCAGATTCTCATCGAACCTGCTGCACGGACAACTATGCCCTTCCTTAGCTCTGAATCCAGAATCATTTCTGGAGGATCAATCTTATCCAGAGGTTTCACAACCCCTTGGACTTCGGTGGGCTCACCAACACCTAACTTATTGATGGCACATATGCGCACCTTGTATTCCTGGTGCTCAATCAACTTGGTGATGGTAAACTTGGTAGCTTTAACCCCAGTCGGTGGGGTGCATATGGTCCACTCCTCCTCATCAGCCTTTGTAATTTCCACAGCGTATCCTTGAATCTCGCAACCACCATCATAGATAGGGCGATGCCAGGCCAGACTAATGGAGTCTTTAGCTGTGTCGACCACATGAGCATTGGTGGGACAGCCCGGTTCAAAGGTGGGGTCACAGGCTTTGAGGTAGGGTGTAGCTGGGCTTGGCTGACCCACTCCAGCTACATTCTCAGCAGATACTCTGAATTCATACTCATGGTCTTCAGTCAGTCCAGTTACTCTGAAACGCAAGTCTGTCACTCTGCGTTTATTGCACTTGGTCCACCTTACTCCAGCTCTGTCTCTCTTCTCAACAATGTAACCACCAATTTCACTGCCTCCAGTGGTCTCAGGGCGGTTCCAGCAGACAGTCATGGAGTCCCTGGTAATGTTAGTGATCTCAAGCTCCTGAGGTGGGCCAGGAGTAACAAATGGATTTCTCATGATAACTGGCAATGATTCAAGAGGCTCACCTACGCCATATTTGTTGACGGCCATAACTCTGAAGATGTACTCATTGCCCTTTAACAGTTTAGTAACCTTGAACATGGTAGCTCCACAGTCACTGGAGACCACAGTCCATGCCAGGCGGCTTGTTTCTCTCTTCTGAATGATGTAGTGAGAAATGCTAGCTCCTCCATCGTGCCTGGGTGGCAGCCATGACAGTGAACACTTCTCCTCAGTTACGTTGCTGACAGTAAGAGGTCCCTCTGAGGGGCCTGGTCTGTCCAGGACCTTCACACTGAATGGGACATTTTTAGTTCCACCCACATTCGTCAGAACCAGTGTGTACTGTCCACCATCTACTCTGATGGCATCTTTCACAACAAGCAAAGCCTTAAAATCTGTGTTCTTGATCTCAGCTCTTGCTGAGTTTTCAACTTCAACATTTCCTTTGAACCACTGAGCTGTGGGGATGGGCTTTCCTTCCACACTGGCTTCCAGATTGAATGTCTCTCCAGCATTGATAACAATGGTCTGGTTGTACATAGGATCTGTCTCACACTTAGGTGGGTCAATTTCATCCTGGGCTGTGATGGATCCTGTGCTTTCAGATGGCTTGCTGACAGCCCCAGCTGCATTCCTTGCAATTACTCTAAAGTCATATTTGCTGTCTTCTGTCAGGCCAGTTACTGTGAATTCATGTGCAATGATGTTTGTAAAACTAGCCTTCATCCACTTTCCTTCAGGAAGGTCTCTTTTCTCCACTACATAGCCAGTAACTAAGCTTCCACCATCATACTGTGGAGGGGTCCACTTCAGCTTCACCGAGTGCCTGGTCACAATCAAAGCCTCAGGACAGCCAGGAGGATCACATGGGTCACGGGCAACATAAACTTCAGAGACTTTGCTGCATTTTCCAATCCCAACAATATTCTCAGCATAGACTCTGTACTCATACTCAATGCCTTCCTCAAGAGGAGTAGATTTGAACCTGCAGTCTTGGATGAGCATTTTGTTGATCTTGGTCCAGAGGATACTGTTCTTCTCTTTTCTCTCCAGATGATAGCCTAAGATGGAACTGCCTCCGTCAGATGGGGGTTTGTGCCACTCAACTACCATATAGTCTTTAGTGTATGAAGACACAAATGGTGTTCCTGGTGGGCCAGGCTCCTGGAAAGGATACTGTGCCAAAACAGGCTCTGAATCAATTGCATAACTCTTTCCATATCTATTCTCAGCACAGATTCTGAACTGGTATTCAGCACCTGTCTTCAGATTGCTCACTTTTAGTGTGGTTCTAGCCACAGTGGCAGATACGACCACCCAGTTGGTTGTGGTTGTGTCTCTCTTCTCCACCACATAATTGGAGATTGGACAGCCACCTGTATATGTAGGAGGTTCCCAGCTAAGAGTGATACTCTCAGCACTGATATCCTCTAACTTGACAGGGCCTGTTGGTGGGCCTGGTTTGTCCAGGGTGATCACCTCAATAGTGGCATCTTTGGAGCCTAAGGCATTGGTGATATTGATGCTGTACAAGCCTCCATCCTCTCTGGTGGCATCCTTCATGGTGAGAGTAGTATGATGTGCTGAATCAGTGACATTGACTCTGGTGGTTTGCTTAAGGGCAGCTCCATCTTTGGTCCAAGTGATGGTTGGCTTTGGATGGCCAGCAATTGGAACCTCAATCTTCAGATCATACCCCACCTGGACACTGTAGGTGCTCACTTTGGGTCGAACAGCAGGCTCAATCACTAGGTCCTTTGCTACAACTGACTGACCCAATTGTCTCGGGTCACTTTTGCCCTTGTCATTTACAGCAACAACTCTGAATTGGTACTCCTCCCCCTTAAGTAGGTTTGTCACTACAGTCTCCACTGCCTTCACACTAGCACACACAGACCAAGCTTCACTGTCCTTGGATGCCAGTTCAACTTCATAGTGACTGATCCTGCTGCCACCGTCATATTCAGGCTTCTCCCAGGCGAGAGTTACAGTGCTACTAGTGACATCAACAACACTGACTTTACCAGGAGGTTGAGGCTTCTCAGATATCTTAATTGGTTCTATAGTTTTAGCAGGGAGACCCACACCATATTCATTCTCAGCCAAGACTCTGAAGAAGAAGATTCCACCCTCTGGAAGAGGTTCAACTTTCCATGTCATCTTGTTGCAGGTGATGATAGGAGAATAAACCTTCCTGGTGCTTTCACGCTTCTCAACAATATAATGCTTAATCTTTGAGCCACCATCCAGAAGCGGAGGCTCCCATGTGAGAGTGACCGAATTCTTGGTAATCTCTTTCACTATAAAGTTAGTTGGTGGACTAGGTGAGTCTAGGACTCTGACACTGATGAATACTGACTTCACTCCACTGGCATTCTCTGCTGTCAGGGTGTACTTGCCACTGTCAAATCTGTCAACATTCTCAATGACAAGTGAAGCATAACTGCCTGTATTGTCAATCTGGGCAGTCTCCTTAATCTCGCCCTCAGCCTTGCCCCATTTCACTTCAGGTGCTGGACGACCTCTCACAGGAACAAACAGCCGGAGAGTGCTTGCTGATCTAATGTTGATCATCTTTCTCATATCTGCATCCAGGTCAAGATCAGGAGCCTCAAGCTTCTCCTCCAAAAGAATTTTTCCTGGTACATCAGCATGCTCACCAATACCAACTTTGTTGATGGCACACACTCTGAATTGGTACTCATGCTTCTCCAGAAGCTTTGTCACTTTCAATTTAGTGTCTGTGATTCCAGTGGGGGGAGTGCACATAAACCACTCATCAGATGCCCCATCGCAGGCCTCAACAATGTAAGCCTGAATCTCACAGCCACCATCATAAATGGGTTTGCCCCATGTCAGGGAAACCGTGGACCTAGATGAGTCCACCACCTTGGGGTTGTTTGGTGGGCCTGCTTTGAAGATAGGCTCCAATGCTTTGTAGTACACTGTTGGCACGCTAGGTGTTCCAACACCTGCAGCATTCTCAGCAGCAACTCTGAATTCATAGCTGTGGTTTTCTATAAGCCCTGTCACTCTGAAGCGAAGCTCACTCACTGTGCGCTTATTGCACCTAGTCCATCTTACACCATCCTTGTCACGCTTCTCAACAATGTATCCCTGGATGGGGCTGCCACCATCATTAGTTGGTCTCTCCCAGGTCACCACCATGGAGTCTTTGGTGATTGTAGAGACTTCTACCTCTGTTGGTGGGTTGGAAGTGACAAATGGATTTCTGGCAATCATTGACTCAGATTCAAGGGGCTCACCAACTCCATATTTGTTGACTGGAATCACTCTGAAGATGTACTCGTTACCAGGAAGAAGTTTTGTGATCTTTAGGTTCAACGTCTGAACTTTTGGCTCAACTACAGTCCAAACCAGTCGGCTTGTTTCCCTTCTCTCAACAATGTAATGGGAAACATCACTACCTCCATCTTGCAAGGGAGGTTTCCAGGAAATAGAGCATTTCTCATTGGTGACCCCATAGATGGAGATAGGACCCACAGGTGGACCTGGTCTGTCCAGGACCTTGACATTAATATTAACAGATTTCTCTCCTCCAACATTCTTTACCAGCAAAGTGTACTGACCTCCATCGACACGGATGGCTTCTTTAACAACTATACAAGCTGTAAAGTCTGTGTTTTTGAGCTCTAGGCGAGCTGCTTCAGTAAGCTCTTTGCCCTCTTTCCGCCAGTGCACAGAGGGCACAGGCTTACCAAAGACAGCAGCCTCAAGCCTGAATGTCTCTCCAGCATTTACCACCACAGCCTGGGAGTACTTAGATTCCAAGTCAATTGTGGGTGGATCCACCTCATCCTTGGCAGTGATGGCTCCAGTAGAGTCAGAGGGCTTACTGAACACACCTGCTGCATTCCTGGCGATGACACGGAACTCATAAATCTGATCTTCAGTAAGTCCTGTGACAACAAATTCAGTTTCAATGATGTTGGTAAAACTGGCCTTCATCCAGCGGCCAGCTACCTCTTTCTTTTCAACCACATAGCCTGTGATCTTGATTCCGCCATCATACTCAGGTTTGGTCCATTTGAGTGTCACTTTGTTTCTTGTCACAATGACAGCCTCTGGTTTTCCTGGTCTGTCACAAGGATCCCTGGCCACTTGCATTTCACTCAGTTTGCTGGCTTTGCTGAGGCCAACAATGTTCTCAGCATAGACTCTAAACTCATATTCAATACCCTCCTCAAGGCCAACAACCTTGAATCTGGTCTCTGGGATAATTTGTTTGTTCTGTTTTACCCACAGTATACTGTTTCTCTCTTTGAGCTCTAAGTGGTAGCCCAGAATTTTGCTTCCACCATCATTGCTGGGTTTCTCCCACACAACCACCATGCTCTCTTTGGTGGCTGACTGGACCACAACAGAACGTGGTTGGCTAGGTAGTTCAAATGGATACTGAGCAACAATGGCTTCAGAGAGCAGGAGAGAAGACTTGCCATATCTATTCTCTGCAGCAATCCTAAACTGGTACTCAGATCCAGTCTTTAGACGGGCTGCCTTGATAGTGGTTCTGGCCACTGTAGCTGACACAATCTGCCAGTTAGTGGTAGATGTGTCTCTCTTCTCAACAATGTAATTATTGATGCTGCAACCACCATCGTACTCTGGTGGATTCCAGGACAGGATCACACTGTCAGCAGTGACCTCATCCATCTTAATCGGGCCAGTTGGAGGACCAGGCTTGTCTAGAACAAGGACACTGATGTCTGTAGATGCCTCTCCAGCTGTGTTGGTCAGTTTGATAGTGTATGTGCCCACATCATCTCTGCAAGCGTCCTTAATAACTAGGAGAAGGTGTCTATCCGTGGCTTCAGCATTAACTCTGGTTGTCTCCTTGAGAGCAACACCATCTTTGAGCCAAGTTGCAGTAGCCTTGGGGCAGGCAGCATATGGTACATCTATCTTCAGATCATCTCCTGCTAGTACACTGAATGTACTAAAAAGCAGTTTGAAAGTTGGTGAGATGACCAGGTCTTTAGCCACCACAGGTACACTGAGAGGACGTGGGTCACTAACTCCCTTTTCATTGGTGGCTGAGATACGGAACATGTACTCCTCTCCCTGCGTTAGGCCAGTTACAAAAGCCTCATTGGTCTTTACCACCATGACCTGGGTCCACTTCTCACTGCCTTTACCCTGCATTTCAACAATATAGCCTGTGATTCTGCTGCCACCATCATGTTCAGGCTTTTCCCATGTTAGTGTGACACTCATGCTGGTAACTTCACAAAGGGACACTTTGCCTGGTGGTAGAGGCTTCTCTGACACTTTGATTGGATCAACGGTCTCTACTGGGAGACCAATGCCATATTCGTTCTCAGCCAGGATTCTAAAGAAGTACATTTTTCCTTCCTCCAGGTCTCCAACTTTCCAACTAGACTTATGGCAGCTGGCACAGACTGTTGAGTAGGCTTTTCTGGTTGACTCACGCTTCTCCACAATGTAGTTGCGGACTCTGGAGCCACCATCAATTAGAGGTGCATCCCAAACAAGGGAAACTGAATCTCTAGTGACCTCCTTGACGATGAGATTCTGAGGTGCTCCAGGAGTATCTAGCACCCTTACATTAACAAAAGCTGTCTTGCTTCCTGAGGCATTCTCTACAGTCACCATGTATTTACCTCCATCAAACCTGTCAACATTCTCTACTTGAAGAGTGGTGAATGATGAGGTGATTTCAATGTTAGCTTTGTCCAGGGATTCTCCATGTTCCCTTGACCATTTAATTTCAGGTGCTGGTCTGCCCTTAATGGGGACAAAGAGTCTGAGTGTGCTACAGGCCCTGATGCAGACTACCTTACGTAGCTCTGCTCCAAGTTCAATTTCTGGAGGAAGCAGTCTGTCTTCAGCTTTGGGAGTTCCAGGAACAGCAGCAGGCTCTCCCACTCCTTCACAATTCGTGGCACAGATGTTTATTTTATACTCTTGGTTTTCCTTCAAGTTGGTAATAGTAAAAGAAGTGGCTGTCCATCCCTTCTTGGGAGTGTGAATTGTCCACTCATCCTCCTCAGGCAGGCAGGTCTCCACAATGTAACCAGTGATTTCAGAACCACCATCATAGACAGGCTTGTTCCAAGCAAGGGTGATTGAGGACTTGGTTGTGTCCAGCACTCTGGGATTCCCTGGAGGTCCAGGCTGGAAGATGGTGTCCACAGCCTTGTAGAATGGACTGGAAGGACTAGGCTGACTTAGACCAGCATTGTTCTCAGCAAAAACTCTGAATTCATACTCATGTCCTACTGTGAGGCCAGAGACCTTGAATCGTAGGTCAGTTACAGTCCTCTTGTTGCACTTCACCCAGCGCAGGCCAGTCTTATCTCTTCTTTCAATTATGTAGGTGTTTATTCTGCTGCCTCCATCGTGTTCAGGGCGCTCCCAGCAGACAACCATGGAGTCCTTTGTAATAGTGGTGACTTCAGGCTGCTGTGGTGGGTCACTGGGGACATAGGGATTGGCACAGATGACAGCTTCAGACTCAAACGGTTCACCCACGCCATACTTGTTAACAGCCATGACTCTGAAGATGTACTCATTGCCCTTCAGAAGCTTGGTGACCTTGAACCTGTTCGCCTGAAGATCTGTGGCCACATTTGTCCATGCCAACCTACTGGTTTCACGCCTCTGAATGATAAAGTACTCAATCTTGGAACCGCCATCATGTGTTGGATGCAGCCAGTTAAGGACACATTTCTCAGCAGTGACGTCAGTGACAGTGAGGGAATCTGGTGGTCCAGGTCTGTCGAGCACCTTAACATTAAATGTGAACTTGGCAAAGCCACCGGGATTGCTGGCAGTCAGAGTAAAAGCACCTCCGTCCCTCCTCAGGGAATCTTTGTTTATTAGAGTTGTGTGGAAGTCAGATGTCTTTATCTCAATCTTGGCTGTATCCTCAAGCTCCTTTCCTTCCTTGGTCCATACCAGAGATGGGATTGGCCTGCCAGTTACATTGGCCTCCAGTTTAAACACCTCTCCTGCCATGACAACAACATTGCTACTATATGATGCATCAACATCAAGTCTTGGCTCTTCGATGTCATCTCTGCATGTGATTGCTTCAGATGGCTGGGATGGAGCACTAACAGCACCAGCTGAGTTTCTAGCAGTCACACGGAATTCATAAGTTGCATCTTCTGTCAGACCACTGACTGTGTAGATAGTTTCTTGGATGTTGTTAAAGTTGGCTTTGAGCCAGCGTCCATTGGGCATCTCTCTCCTCTCTACTGTGTATCCAGTGATGGAAAAGCCGCCATCTCCCTCTGGTTTGCTCCATGAGACTGTCACCTCATGTCTGGTGATATTCAGTGCCACAGGCCTGCCCGGTGGGTCGACTGGGTCCAAAGCATACACAGGCTCAGAGGGTTTGCTTGGTTTGCTGAGACCGGCCATGTTCTCAGCAAAAACACGGTGTTCATATGCAATTCCATCAACAAGGCCTGGTGATTTGAAGATATTTCCAACAACAAGAGCTTTGCTGATTCTCTGCCACAGAATGCTGTTTTTCTCTTTTCTGTCCACATGATATCCCAGGATGACACTGCCTCCATCAGAGGAAGGCTCATTCCAACTCAGAGTCATAGCATCCTTGTTAAAAGATGTGACCAAAGGAGTGCCTGGCTGGCCTGGCACATCAAATGGATAGGCAGCCACCACTGGCTCAGAGGTAATGCATGGTCCGATGCCATATCTGTTCTGTGCCTTGACGCGGAACTGATATTGGGTTCCAGTGTTGAGTCGAGCTGCCTTGAATGTGGTGCGGATGACTGTCGCTGCCAACTCTACCCAGGAAGTACCAGTAGTCTCCCGCATCTCAACAATATAGTTGTTGATGGGAACACCTCCATCATTTTCTGGTGCCTCCCAGGACATGAGAACATAATCACATGAGACCTCGTCCAGCTTAATAGGACCAGTTGGAGGACCTGGAATGTCATGGACGAGGACTGTGATCGTCTCAGTCACTGTACCCATCATGTTCTTTCCAATCATGGAATACTGGCCTCCATCAGTCCTCTTGATCTCACTGATGTTGAGGATAGTGGATGTTGGTGTGGTTTCAGTGTTGATTCTTTGTGTCTCCTTTAGCACTGTGTCTCCCTTCTTCCAGGAAACCACAGGTCTTGGTTTGCCGAGCACTGGAATCTCCACCTTGACGCGGTCTCCCGCCTTAGCGATGACAGTCTGCTGGTAGACTCCACGTAGGTCAAAAGAAGGAGTGGATGTCTGCTCTTTGATAATAGCAGGCCTGCTTTCACGGGGGTCACTCCTGCCTGATGCATTGACAGCTATTATGCGGAAGGTATATTCTGCGCCCTCAATCAGATCCGGGACAGTGTAGTCTAGAGCTTTGATGGTGCCCATATGGACCCACTGGTCTGTGTCCTTCTTCTGGGCCTCAATGACGTATCCGGTGATCAAGCTGCCACCATCATGCAGGGGCTTGGTCCATGCGAGGCTGGCACTGTCAGCTGTCACATCTGTGACATACAAATTCTCTGGTGCAGAAGGGGCCTGGGACACCCTGATTGGCTCAGGGGTTTCAGCTGGCTCACCAATGCCCAGGTCATTCTCAGCAGTGATACGGAAGTAGTAGTAAGCTCCCTCTTCAAGGCCTGGAATCTTGAAGGAACACTTCTGCCAAGTGGTGCTAAGCACAGTATAGGCCTTCTTGGTCGCCTCTCTCTTTTCAATAACGTAGTTGTGAATCTTAGAACCACCATCAATTATGGGGATTTCCCACTGAAGGGTGATGCTATTCTTAGTGATCTCTCTAGGTTTGAGGTTGACTGGTGGTCCTGGTGTGTCCAAAACTTTCACATTAACAAAGCCAGTCTTCTTTCCAGCAACGTTCTCCAGACAGAGATGGTACTTTCCAGCATCGTATCTGGTGCAGTCAGGAATAACCAGGAGAGTGTAGGACTCTGTGGTGTCAATGTGTGCACGTTTTTTAAGGTCGGTATCATCTTTGCTCCAGGTTACTTCAGGAACAGGCCGACCTCTGATGGGAACAAACATACGGATTGAAGCACGGGACCTCACCACCAGGGTTCTCCTGAGTTCAGCATCCAGCTCAAAGTCTGGCAGTGACTCCTGGTCTACCAGTTCAGTCACTTTCTCAACCTCTGCAGGCTCACCAACTCCCTCTGAATTTACTGCGCAGACTCTGAAGTGATATTTGCCTCCTTTTTTAAGTTTACCAATAACGTATTCAGTAGCTTTCAATAGGTACTGTGTCTCTGTCTCCCAATCATCATGCCCCTCCTCTTTGTACTCAACAATATATCCATCTACTTCAAGACCACCATCATAGTGGGGTCGGCCCCAGGCAAATGTGGCAGTGGTTTTTGTGGTTTCTGTAATTCTGGGGTTGGATGGAGGACCTGGTGGATCTGATAAGAAAAATGAGAGGTTAAATAAGTTAATTGAGTGAAGGTGGTACACAGGTTTTTGATTAGTATGTTCAGACTTTTATGCATATGCAACTTTCTCATTTTACTGTAAAAATAAATTCAGAATGAATTAAGAAGTCAAGTTTTACTTACACACAATGTCCTTGGTCATCACAGGGTGTGATGGCTCACTTGGCTCCCCAAATCCAGCCTTGTTCTCGGCAGTGACTCTAAACTCATACTCTACTCCCTCGCTAAGGCCTTGCACCTTAAAGCGCAGGTCAGGGACTGTCCTCTTACAGGCTCTCACCCATCTCATTCCTCTCCTCTCTTTCCTCTCTACACAATATCCTCTGATGTCACTTCCACCGTCCTGTACTGGTCTCTTCCATGAAATGGTAACAGCGTTCCTACTGACGTTATCAATTTCTGGGGTTGATGGTGGACCTGGTGGGCCTGGGGGAAACAAAAGAACATTTCGGTCAGTTCTTAGGTTCATAGGTTTTTCACTCAAATTAAATAATTAAATAAAATTAAATAATACATCCCAGGAAAAATCTAAATTTCATTGCATTTTTAAAATATTATACAACTAAATATAAACCATATAAACTTACGGAAACTGTCAACCATTTTGACTGGACCAGATTGGCTTGAATCTCCAGTGCCATACTGGTTCACAGCAGACACTCTAAAGATGTACTCATTGCCTTTGATCAGTTTACTGGCTACATATCTGCAGTCCATGACATTTTCAGCTAGCTTGGTCCACTGCAGGCGGCTGGTCTCTCTCTTTTCAAGGATGTAGGACTTGATAGAGCAGCCTCCATCCTCCTCTGGTGGAAGCCAGGTCAGAGTACACTTCTCAGCTGAAATGTTAGTGGGTTCAATGGGGCCTGGAGGTCCAGGCACGTCCAGAACCTTCACCTTTACGTGTTCTTCCTTAATACCAAAGGGATTGCTGGCGGTGATGATGTAGTCACCCGTGTTCTTCCGGCTTGCATACTTGATAGCCAGAGTAGAGGAGGTGGGAGTACTGGTGATGGAGATGATGTCAGAGGTCTTGAACTCACGGCCTCCCTTTGACCAGACAGAAGTAGGTGGAGGTTTGCCCAAAATCTTGCAGGCTGATATCACGATGGTGTCTCCTGCCCTGACTGATACACCGTCCTTCATTTCTGGGTCAATAGTGATTGTCGGGGGCTCTGCAGAGAGGACAGCACAAGAAATTCATATAAAAATTGTCCACACACCACATAAATTCAAATTAATGACAATATGACTTTAAATACTGATATTTGCTATTCAGCTTACCATACTCATCTTTGCAGGTCAGAAGCTCAGTAGACTCTGAAGGAACACTAATAGCCCCAGCAGAATTCTTGGCCCTGATCCTGAACTGATACTGAGATCCCTCTGTCAGGTCAGGGACAGTGAAGGCACATCCCTGGACGTTGACATGATTGGCCTTCATCCAGGCCTTGCCGCCAGCCTCCAACTTCTCCACCATGTAGCCAGTCAGCTTGTGGCCACCGTCATATTTGGGAGCTGTCCAAATCAGAGTGACTGTGGTCCTTGTGACGTTAATCACTTCCGGCTTGCCAGGAGGATCTAACAGAACACAAAGTAAATGTGTTAAAACATAAAGAAAAAACACCAAACACATTAGGTTTTCACATGGAAAAAAAATCCAAAAGCATTGAACTCACCAATAGGATCCAGGGCGACCACAGCCTCAGTGGCCCTGCTTGCCTTTCCGAGCCCGGCCATGTTCATGGCCATCACTCTGAACTCGTACTCTAGTCCCTCTATCAGGCCAGTGACTCTGCACTCCTTTACTCTCAAAGGAGTCTTACTGGCTCGTTTCCACATCAGACTGTTTCTCTCCTTAAACTCCACATGATATCCTAGAGAGAACACAAATCAAGTCATGGTGATTGCTGTTTGCTATTTGCTCATGATAAACTACAAACTGATATCTATCACAGTTTGTTACCAGTAATTGGGGAGCCACCAGTGTCCTTTGGATCAGCCCAAGTCAAGATGGCTGACTCGTGGCGGATGCTCACAATTTCTGGAGGAGCAGGTGCCTCAGGCACATCTGGAGGAAGCAGAGAAGGGTTAAATGATTAGGAAAGAAAGTGAGTACAGTAAGTTTACTTGCTCGACTCATTCTGGCTACAGTCCTATCGTAGTGGTAAACAGACATCCCCTGGTACTGTGAGCTTGAAGTCAGGGTACTGTCAGCTAATAGGATCGCTAACTAGCTAGTGCCAGCAACTAGTACACTAAGCATATGCAGCAGTGCAACGGTAAGAGACTTCATTTGTCACAAGAGATAAGGTCCATGCTCCAACAGTCACCTGATACTTTGGTCTGGGTGACAAGATCCAACTAATGAAAATAACAAGACTCTTATTATCTTAAAGAATGGCCCTTATAAATATTATCAAAGCTTCTGAAAAATGGCACTTTAAAAAGTCATGTTACTGCCTCAGCCCAAAATGTATTTTGACTGATACTCACTGAATGGATGCTGGGCGATGACTGGGTCAGACCTCAGATACTCTCCAACTCCATATTTGTTCTCAGCAAACACTCTGAAGATGTACTCTATTCCATCGTGGAGCCTGATCACCCTCATGGTGGTCTTCTGGATAGCTGAAGCTACTGTGGCCCACTTGTTGTCTGTGGTCCTCCTCTTTTCAACGATGTAGTTGGACACCTCTGCACCGCCATCATCTTTGGGTGGTCCCCACTCCAGGGTGATGCCGTCAGCGGTGATCTCGTCAAACTTAATGGGTCCAGTGCAGATGCCAGGCTTGCCGACCACCTTCAGCTGGAACTTGCAGTCCTTGGAACCAGCACTGTTCCTGACGTTGATGCTGTAGGTGTCGGCATCTCCTTTCTGGCAGTCTCTGACAAGCAGAGTGGTGACACCATGAGACGCCTCCACGCACATCCTGCCGGTGTCTCCGAGCATTGTGTCGCCCTTCTTCCAGGTGGCAGTGGGGAGGGGCACTCCGATGGTGGGGATGTTGATACGTGTGGTGCTGCCTTCCTTCACCACACAGCAATTGTCTTGCAGAGCACTCAAGTTGCAGTCAGGCAGCACTAAAATTCAAAGTATTTGCTCATCAGAAAACATTTAAAAACAATAACTTTATGTTCTAGCAAAATAGATTAGATTAGAAGCTATAATCCAATCCAATCCAATCCACTTTATTT